CCGCTGCTTGCAGATGCGGTGATATTATCCGTAGTGCACAAGCAACGACGTGATAATGGCAGTATTGGGCCCACCTGCCGGCGACCGGATATCTGGCCTTACCTCGACCTTTCAAAGAGATGCATGGCTTTTTTTCTTATTCTTCCACGAAGGCGACCGCTGCAGTGGCGGGACGCCGCCAGATAAGTCGACCATCGTCGGCATATTGCCAGAGGCTAAGAGAACTGATAGAGGCAGATTTGTGCGCTGTTTTATTGTGCCGGGCATGCAGCCACATCCCTGACAGGTGTTTCGTTCTGCAGCAGACAGCAGACGCCAAGACCAGTTCCCGAGCCAGAGAAGGGGAGGTATGGGTGTCAGGGTGCCGCCCATTACGCCGTACACCATCCTACTCCCAGCGAGCAGGTGTGTGTGTGTGTGTCCTTGGTGCATCCCAGGAGCAGGGGCTGATCCTCGCAAGGTGCAGTGCAGCTGGCGGCGGGTACCTCGGATCTCGAGGCGGCGGGCAGGACAGCTGGCAGCATCGTGCCCTACCCTGCCCTACCCCTGTTCCGTTCAGGTACCCATACGGAGTACATTGGACATGTCGTGGGCATAACGCAGAGTAACGATACCACATTGATTTGCGTCTTGCGGTCGTGACGCTTGCAAGGTTGGCCATCGTCTCATCGTTTTTTTTTTTTTTTTTTTTTTTTTTTGACAGAGCCAGGGTTGATGAGTACCTTGCCTGATCCTAGGGCATCCTTGGAGTCAAACCGTTAGAGGCGTCTCGCCCGTAGCCTGCACTGTAGCGTGTGCAGCACGCCGCGATGAGGGGTCGATCTCAGTACTGAGCGCTTGTGCTTCGGTGCCTTGTCGTGTCCGTATACGGTATTGTCATGGATGGACCAGGATGTTAGGGTTAGCAACGATGTAGAGCACTAGTTTATGTAAAAAGGGGGTGCTTGCCGGTGACAGGGAAAGCAGGGATTGACGTAATGGTGAGCGCTTTCCCGACACATCTTAGCTGCGGAAGAGGCCGCAACAAGACGATTCGATTCGATTCAACCGCGTGTATCGTGTGTCGTGGTTGTGTCAAAGTGTAGCATGCCCGGAAAGGGACATAGTGTGTGTAGAGCGGCACCCAAGAAGGCCGAAAAACGGAGACTAGGTAGTCCAGCGCCAATTGATGACACAATGCCGCGATGAGTGCGTTGCGTGAGGCTTGATAGTGGCAACGACTTGAACGAGAGAAATGAAGACAACGCGGTAGGATGTAAGATGCCAGACGCGCCGCTGGTATCAAATTAAGGGTTCATCACATCTGCTGGCGTGTGCTTGTCTGCAGGTGGGATCCAATCCACCCACGCACGTATCCTCACCCTGAAGAAACGGGAGTTGGGGGCTTTTTGGGGGTGAGGGAAGGAGTGGGCGAGATGGTGTCTAGCGGATGGATACCTCCTGGCCCACGTTAAACGCTTTTTCCCCCTTTTATTTTCTTTATTTTATTTTAGGAGGGGAAACCGGCAACAGGCGGGACGCGGGAGGAACAGTACCAGGACCACACCTATGCGGGAGCGCACGCCTGTTGCAGGCTGCGGCACGTACTCAAGGCACTGGGTGACACCTTCTAACGTGGCAGCTTGGGAGCCACAGCGGGCAGGCAGACCAGCTTGTGTGGATGCTTTGGCGAACGATGCTCACAGCTGCAGCTAAGGGGGGAGCAGCTTGAACGTGGGAGCCGCGGCCATGAGAGCGCGAACGTCCTGAACACCGGGATGATGGAAGGTGTGGTGGGTACTTCTGCAGCTTCGGGGCAAAGGCGTACGAGAGAGAGTTCGAGGAACGACGACAGGGAGGGGACCAAAGGGAGAGGGGAAATAGGGGGGCCATGGAATAGTTGGAAGAAGCGGAAGAAGGGAACAAAACTGGGACGGATTCGAGGGACTCGAGCTCGAGCCTCCGACCAGGGACTTCCCAGTCGACAGGGAATCGACTGCAATTACTCGGCAAGCACAAAGATGGACGGACCCGACGAAGTTGCAGAAGTAGGGTTTGTTGCGAGTGTGTGCCTACCTACAGAGGTACCTACCTAGTTTTACTCTGACGAGACCATACGACACCACACGACACAGTAGTGCAGGTGCGGCCAGTTCTCTTGCTCGAATGCGGTTTCAATTTCAGGAAGGCGTGTGGCTGCGATTACGGAGTTCTTTCCGCCCCCCTACGTGTAAGCGTATGTGTACGAATAGGTAGCAGCGAGCGCAGAAGACAAGGCAGGCGTGACAGACAAACAGGGCAGGGACTGTCGGGCAAGGAAGGAGGCGTGCAAGGCAAGGCCCAACTTACAAACATGGCATGGTATGGCAGCAACGTGCTGGGGTGGAGTAATTACCTCTCCAACACTGTCCGGTAATAATGTACGAATATGCCCGACAAGGACGAATGCAGGAAGGCGCGATCGTGACACCAGCGCCTTGGAATTTGACTTCCTCTGCTGTCCTGTGGGAATCCGACGGGCTGGACGGCAATTGCAAGAAAGCTAAAGCATCCTGCCCTTATTTTTCTCGAGTTGCTGGAAAATGTACGTTTAGGCGAGACGGAGGGGAGAAGGGGGACAGCAAGAGTAAAGTGTTGCCCCTAAGAGTTGGGAGAATGGCACTCTTACGGTGAAGGTAGACGGTGAGATAGTGACTATATTCGATTTACACGATTCGGTGCACGATACGATGCAGGGACGGTGAGGTAGACAGAGAAGATAGAGCCGGCAAAAGAGCCACCGCATCCAGGCATTAACAATATCACGTTGCATAGCCCTGTTGATCTAATGCAGACTTTGCCAAAGTCATGCCCGTTTCTCTCTATCTCTCCCCATTCCTAGTCCAATTACTATTACTATCCCCTCTCCTTGTTGTTAAACCAAATATCCTACCTGTTCCGGTGCAGGGCAGTGCACGATTGTCATTGAGTTTCGAACCGAATGACCACCGTGCATGGTAACTAAGCCCGTCGCTCAAAAGATTATTCGCGTCACCGCCCTGTTTGAAGCCAGCGGCATGGCGCAGGCCTGTGTGAATTCTGACAGGTTGACAGAGGCACCTTGTCAATGTGCCTACCTACCTCATGGGTGGATATGGATGGATGGATTACCTAGCGTACTAGGGACAGCTAGCTCGAGTCCCCTTCTCTTGACACTCGCCTGCACAATGGACGTCGACCGAACCAAGTTCGCATTACCTCATTCCTGTTTTCCCAAGCGCACACCACCGTCTCTTGAGCCCTGAATCACCGCCGTCGAGGACCCTGTCCGTCTGTGTCTGCTCAGCTTTCCTTACACGTACAGTCGTCGCTCACAGTGCTCGCCCTGTGTACGAGCACCTCTGGGGCAGGCATTGATTGGTATCGACGAGACGCCTTTTTTCAAAATTTTCAAATGCCCTGGAAATCAGGAAGGCAAGGTACATGGATGGTACCTTCCTGTCCTGCTTCACTCTTGTTCTTACCTGCTAATTATTCTTCCTTTTTTTTCTTTCCCTTTTTACCTTCGTGCAAGTACGGATAGAGTAGGCAGTGTTTGAATTTTATCTCGTCGATAGGGGCTTCCTTCCGCTTCCATCGTCTCTTCTCTCTCTCTCTCTCTCTCTCTCTCTCTCCCACGCACTCTCCGTCTCTTTCTCGCGCACACACATCAAGTTCCTGTCTCACTTTTTGCTCTCCCTCTCATCCGCCTGCCAGCTTATTGTTGCACGTCCTTCGTTTGCCCATAGCGCTGACTCGGCCGGAATTCCATGAGTGAGAGTCAATACTCGAAACCGTGACCAAGAACCCAGCCAATCCTCTGATATTTATCACCTCAACCCCAAAGTGGATTGACCGAGGCAAAAAGGAACAAAAAAACAGGTCCCTTCTTCCCCCCTTCCCACGTCCACTTCTCGCAACTCACCCACCACCACCACCACCACTCACTTCTCTCCCATTCATCCGCGCACCCCTCCCCCCAATTCTTTTTTGAACCATCCGCCAATGCTTTGATCTTGGGACCGCGGTGGTATCCAACTTTCTTGTTCTGGTCAGGTCTTATCCTGCCTCTTCCACCCAAATCTACTTGACAATAAGGTACTTACTTGCCTTGGCAACTCGCAGCAGAAGAACGCGCAAAGGAAGCACTGTACCTCACACCGTCCTTGCCCAAAAAAGAAATAACCCACCCATCTCAATTCACCCCCATCCTTTACACCACTTCCTCTCTTCACCTACCTGCCGACCCATCATCCGTCAACCAGGATTCCCGACCAACGGCCAACCTCCCACACTCTCTCCGAAAAAGGCCCTTCATAAAAACCTCGCTGTCTCCACTCCTCCTAGAAGGGGCGACGTCCAAACCCACTTCTTCCCTTTTTTTCCCTCTCCCCTCCTCCTCTTTGGACGGAGTGACCACTGCTCAACGGTTCCTGCTCTGCACACCCTCGGCATCCACCCCGGCAAGACCACTTTTTTGTTCTTCCCTCCCCTTCCTTCCCACCCTCTGACCCCTCTCGGCGCCGCCAGGTACCTGACAGGCTTTTTCTGCCGAAGACAACGACGCGCCAGAGAGAAAAAAAAAATAAAAAGGATCGAGCCCCATCTGCTCCACTCCTGACCCTCTCCAAAACCACCTCCAAACGGGATCAACTGGAGCCTCAATCCCACCACCAAAAGTCCACCTTACAAACAACACTCTCTTCGCGTGTTGTCTTTGGGTTCGCGACTTTCCATCATCCTTCGACGGAAAGCTTATTCTGAAGAATCTCTTTTCACCTGCACCTTTATCTGACGACTCGAGTATTCCTTTTCTCGGCGTGCAGCATCATCTTCCATTGGGTCAGCGGCTTCATTGTCTCGTGTCCCACAAAAAAATTCCCACGAGGCCTTGGACGAGTCCCCCGTTCAGACGTAGGAACGCGTCTCGACCTCGCAACAAGCAAGCTTGCTCTGTGCGCCTTTGTCTCGACAAAAGGCCAACACACAAATCAGTGGATAGCATGGACGCTTCCCAGTACCCTACCAACGGTATAAACACGACATCGGCCTCCTACCCGTCGCCCCCCGCCATCACGCCTCACCAACTCCAGCATACCAACTCCCCGCTGCCTCACCAGACTCTGCCGCCTTTGCAGCCGCAGACCTCCGCAGCCATGAACCAGATGTACGGCAGCAACCCTCACACGCCTCGCACTCCTGCTACTCCCAACACTCCGGGTTCGCAGAACAACATGCCTGCCTACCCTCAGCAGCAGCAGCAGCAGCAGCCGCAGCAGCAGCCGGGTCGTGGCGGTCCTTACCAGCAGATGGGCCAGTATCCTCCCCCGCCCCAGGCCTACGGCACTCAGTCCATGCTGCCCCAGACCACGATGGCTTCTTCTCACCCTCAGCCCATCGCGCCTGCGCCTGCCTCTGGTCGTGTCCCTCCTGTTCTCCGGCCCATGCCCGCCGGTGGCGTCATGCCCCAGCCCGGTATGAACTCTCCCTACGGGCCCGGCGGCGTCATGCCCGGCGGTCTTGGTGACAGCGACCAGCCCACCCACGTCGTCGGTTCTCAGGGTCGCCGTGGCATCTTGCCTAGTGCTCCTGGACGTCCTGCCGCCACGCCTGCCGGTGCCGGCAACGGGAAGAGCACTGTTATTCCGGTCAAGGATGCTGATGGCAAGTTCCCGTGCCCTCACTGCACCAAGACTTACCTCCACGCGAAGCACTTGAAGCGTCACCTCCTACGCCGTAAGTACTCCCTCCTTCTAATCCGCGATTGGCGACGGCTCTTTTCGCTGACAACTGTGACCTACAGACACTGGCGACCGCCCCTACATGTGCGTCCTGTGCCGCGACACTTTCTCGCGAAGTGACATTCTCAAGCGTCACTTCCAGAAGTGCTCCATCCGCCGAGGCAACCCGACTGGTGCTAGCCACTTGTCCCACCCTCAGGCTCATGTCAAGAAGAATGCTGCCGCCCAGAAGGCGCTTGGTCAGGATGGCGGTCTTAACCACCTCAATGGTCTTGGTAACATGCCTACGGATGGCATGGTTCAGCCTTTTGGTATGATGCCTGTGCAGGATGGGATGAGCAACCTTGCAAACGATCAGAGTCAGTTGTCGCGCTCCAGCAGCCTGACTAGGCTTGATAATGGCAGTAACCAAGACAGACGGGATTTGACAGGATCTGTCATGGATGCTTCTGGACGAGGTGGCAACTTCGAGCAGGCATACAACGGCAATGTCCCTAGCTCCATGACGCCCAATATGAATCAACAGATGCAAAACTACAATATGCCCCCGGGTCAAAATGGAATGTCCATGTATGGCGGGTCGAACTCGAACCAACAATCGGGCCTTGATTGGTCTCAAATGTTCCAGGCTGGTGCGCAACAAACCTACGCAAATCATCAATTCCCCCCTAATCTTGGACAGACGCAGATCGCAACCAAACCCGAGCCTAATACCGGCACCGAAAGAACAATAGGTCCTCCTGGCCTCCAAACCCACCCCGATTCTCTCTTCTACTCGACCTGGGGCGTGCCGCCATCGATCCAGGACCCCTTTACTCAACTCTCCAACCAGATCCTCAACTTCTTCTACCCCCCAGGTTCCCCGATAACCAACGAAAGTGCCGGCTTCAACCTATACTTCTCCTCCGATAACATACGCGACTTCTTAGAAAAGTACACCCACTTCCATGTCCATTTTCCTATTCTCCATACCCAAACGTTCCGCATCATGGATTCGTACACTGGCTTGTTAGCCGGCATGTGCTGCATGGGCGCCTGCTACTCGGATCGTCTCTCTCCAGATCACGTGCGCGATATGATGAACTTTCTCAAGGCGGCTCTGGTTCGGGATGTGCAATTTCTTGTGCCGACGGCGGGCAAGCAGCAACACAACGGTACTGTCAACGCCGGCGACTCGAGCAACGGCCAACGCGACCTCGAGGAGCTCCAGGCCGTTATGCTGCTCCAGATTTTGATGATCTGGAACAGCACTCCTGAACACCGAGAGAGTGCTCGCGAGATTTTCCCAGCAGTGGCGGAGCAGGCTCGCAGGCTTCGTCTGTTGGAGGTCTCCACCGGATTGCCCCTCTTCAGCCCGCTGCACCAGAGCAACTTTTCCCCTCAGAACTTCGACGTCTCCACATTCGATTGGGGTGTGTGGGTTGAACAGGAAAAGCGGATACGCCTCATGCACATCATCTTCCTCTGCAACTCCGCCATGGAACTCTATTTCAACGCCCGCTCTCACATCGATGGTCTGGAAATGCATATTCCGCTGCCATCCGATGATGCCGCGTGGGATGCACGGACGAAGAAGGATTGCGAGGACGCTCTTGGTCTTCACGGAGAGGAACTGGCACGACAAAAGAACCCGAATGGGACGCGACGCAGTAGGCAGCCCGACATGAGCTATGCCCTCCAAGCATTGCTGCATGGGTCGTATCAAATCCAGCCAGGTAGAACGAACTTGTATGGCAAGTTCATTCTGATACACGCCATTTTGTCGTTGATCCGACGCGCTCAGTTGGACGGCAGTGCTGTAACGAAGGGGTATGCGACGCCCCCAATGAGCGACTGGATGATGAACGGGGGATCAGATGCCAACGCCGCCAACAGCGGCAGAGGCACGCCAGTCGATCCCGCTCTTCAAGGCATCCCAGCCCACGTTCACGACTCCTTCCGAATGGCACTGCAAAAGTTCAAGACCAACTGGGATGCTGACATGGTTAATCAATTTCCACCTGGATCAGCAAAGAATGTGCGCAGGTACGGGTTCTCTAGGGATGGTATCCATTTCTACTGGCTTGCCAAGTACCTTCTCAAGCACACACGGACATCGGAGTTACAAATGGAACCGGACGCGCGGTTTGTTGAGGTGATGCACTTGCTCAAGTCGGTCAAGGCTTGGGTGATGTCGGACGGGGCAACACGGGGCGAGGAATTGGGATCGGTGGGAGAAATCGATAAGGATTTTGGGGTGGCAAACTTGACACTCGACATGGCACGACTTTTTAAACCTCTTCCGGCGGTGGTGGAGGATCCAGGAATACCTTCTGTTCAAACGGATATCGGTACGGCAGCGGCTGGCATGCTCTGACATTTCACAACAACAACAACAAAAAAACCAACTGCATTTGGTGGGGCGTCTGTTTTGCATTTATTTTCTTTTTCCTTCCTCTTTACCTTGTTTTACTGTTTCCTCATGGGTCGGTTCTCATCGACTCACAAGCTTTGTTGCGGAAAAGCATTCTCGATTCCCTACTGCATCAAAGCCGGATCGACGGTGGTTAGTTCTGATATGCATCTTGTGGCGGGTGGTTTCACGCAATGATAGACGGGGGAGGCGGAGTTGGCACTGCATTAGACTGCGATCAGATAGAACCTGGGAGGCTCTCGGGTGGCACCAGTGGTGGCCCGATGAGGTTGTCACGATATCCATGGCTTTTCGCTCATAATGACTTGTTTTGGCGGTCCGTGTGGCTAGACTGGTCTGGTCTAATAGTAGATGTCTCAAAATGGGTGGTACTCGTCTTGTTTCTTTCTTTCTTTTTTTATCGCATCACTGAAGAAGAAAACTAGGTCTGCAAAGAGGTATCGATGTTTGGCCCAGTTTTCCGTTCTCTTTGCAAGTTACGGGGTGGACTTGAAGACTAGACACTGCAAAATTGACTTGATTGTAAAAAGCAACTTATGACGGCTTAATATCATACCCTTTGACGCTTGTAACGGACCCATTCATTGCAAGTATGAGATGCCTTGTGGCGTCAATCCTGTAGCTGAAAGAGCATATACGGACGGACTCGGACCCGTGTCCCTCTCTCAAGCGGACACGGCGGTGACTGGGAGCCATACGTGCATGCCGGTTGTTTGCTATTCTTTGGACCTGTCGACAACGGTAACCTTGGGCACATACTTGTCGACGATAGCTTTCTCCTCTGGGGTCGGCTGGTATTTTTCCTCCGCCTGGTCGGAGAGGTAAAGGCCGGCCGCGCCCCAGGCCAGGACCGCTACGCCGACGCTCAGGCGGGTCTTTGGGGAAAGATTCTTGTAGGCTCTGCCGGAGGTAGGTTTTATGTGAGTAGTGTCGACTTTCAGGGGGAGAAGGCATTGACAGGTTGCGTATGTGTTTGTTTGTGTGATGAGAGAGGTGGGCTGGCGGGCTTTAAAACTCACTTGAACATCTGGTCTCCGGGATATGACTGGGTGAATATGGTGAAGGGGTCAGATAGGTGGATCAACGGGATGATATTTCAGGGTTGGACGGATGGCATCACTGGCATCACGGACATGTGAGTGGGCGGCTAACAGATGATGCATGGAGGGCATTAAGGCTTGAGACTTACCTTTTGGAGAGCCTTTGATTGAAATCGAGCGAAAGTCGTCGAGCGAGGTTGATGGAGTTTTACGAGGACGAGGTTCCTGGAAGTTCTGGTCGATTGAAAAGGGAACGATTGGACGAGGGTGGGGCATATGGGAGAGGGGCGTGGCTTTAGTCACCAAGGAATGAGTATCTCCACCCCCTCACCGACTCCAACGTCGAGGGTAACTCCCATCTATCTATTTTCTTTCCACAACACACCAGCTGGCAGGTCTTGAGCATAATCTTGTTCAAGATTCTTTGTGCACTAAATGTATAATCCCACGAACTCGTTCAGTTACTTGGAGAACTATCTGTGGGAACATGGCGGCAAACGCCCTGCCTGTTGAGCTGATCGAGCTCATATTCGCCCATGTCTCCTCGACTGGCGACACGAAGAGCCTTAGGCTCTCGTGCCGGGCCTTCGCAGACGTGGGGTTCCTTTACCTCTTCACCACATCCTTCACGCACCTGAGCTGGCGCGACGATGTGATGAGGCTCGAGAACTGGTCTCGGCACGACAGGCTCCGCCGCCACCTCCGGTCCTGGACTGTTAACCTGGCGCGCCTCAATGAACATCCCGGCCGCCACGCGAGCTTCTTCCAGTACTGGCTCATGGATCCCGAGGACAGGGAGTCGCTGGTGTTGAGACATGGCTGGGCGGAATTCTACGACGCGGAAGCGAGGAGGAAGGCGATGGCATGTCTCGCCGAAGAGGAAGAGGAGGACGTAAGGCGGTTGGTCAATGCGGCGGCGAGATTGAAGGCACTTGAGCAGGCGAGAATTTTGTTCAATGAGTGTCCATATGAGGGTGTGATCTTGAGGAGAGCGTTTGCGGACCCGTCAGTGAGGTGGTTCGAGCCGTGTGAGGCGAGTACGATGCTTGGGATTCTGGCGATGGTGTTGAGGAGGTTTGGCTGCTTGAAGAGTTTTGAAGTTGACCGCCTGCCTATGAAAATGGCGCCGTCTGTCAAGACGGAGACGGCCTGGTGTGAATTTGCAAGAAGCGTAGGGGAACGGCTGGAGGAAGTAAAGCTCGGCCTGGACTATTCGGGGTCGGCTGGGGAAGAGACGGCCGGAGAGACAATGGGGGACGTCTCTGGTAGCTGGACTCAGCTTGTGGAAGTGCTGTTGGCGAGCTGCCGACGTGTCAAATCACTGGAGGTGAAGCAGCACTTCTATCGCCCGCTCGGAGACCGTTCGCGCAAGACGGGACGGTTGAACCAAGTGCTGTTGAGGTGCACCACGTGGAGGCTGACGGACCTGAAGCTGGAGGGTTTCGCTACCACGCAAGAGGAACTGTCCGGGTTTCTGAGGGGCCAGCTCGCAACGTTGAAGCGGCTGAGGCTGGGCGGACGAGGAGTCGCCAGCGTGAGGGACAAGTCTAGGGGCGGGATATGGCTCGAGATGGGGACGTGGTTCGGGTTCTTTACGGGGTTAAGGGGCAGGCTGAGAGCGGACAAGGCTGGCTGTGTGCTGGAGAAGATCCATCTCGAGGGGGACTTCCGGCAGGTTGACAGAGTCGAGGTCGATGGCGAGGACAGGGGGCTGGTCGAGAACTATGATTTTTATCCAATAACTGACGACAACTGGGCGCTTTTGGAGACGCCTGCATGGGTGAGGGCGGGCTTCTCTACGAATTATCTGGACGGGAGTGCGTTCGCAAGGTACGCTCTTGGGGACGAGGATATGAGCTACCCCGGATTCACAGAGGGATTACTCGGCGAGGTTTGAGCGCGCTGTCGATATACATTCATTCTCATGCTTCGACATACAATGTGGTTGAAACATGGATGGGTATCCGTACGATGTGGCCCATTCTCAGCCATCGTTAGGACATCTGCGACTGCGCAGTTATGGGATGGGATTGTAAATGGCCTTTGGAGACGGGAAAGAGTCGGCTCTTGTAGTAAGGCTGCCATGCCGATACCCTTGGGCTAGGTAGACTTACGTGCATGTTATACCTTTCTGAAAATCACGCTTCCGGTATGTGGTATGTTCTATTCCATCTGGCCGAACTACTGGATCGGATATTCGGAAGGTGCTGAAACCCCACCCTTTTTGGCCAGGCTGACACTCACTGGGCGGCAAATTTCAGCGAATGCCTGTCTCGTTGGAGGTGTTTTGATACCGCCCTTAGATAGACGTTTTCAAATCATTTGTGGCCCCACGCGAAAGAAGAAGCCACTGGGTTCCGTGGCAGTTGGTGGCGCGGGCGAAAGCAGTATAGGCAGTAGAACGCTTAACTTGGTGAGCTGGAGGCACGTATCCGAGGGGACGTGTTCATTGAGCTTTGAGCTGGCAGAGTGCGGACGTGAACAATTCCATGGTCCCAAGAAGATGAACTTTCAAGTTCAGCCTCGGAAATTCAGGATGAGAAAGGCCAACTGGACCCTGAAACCCCAAAGGTCGGGAGAATGTCCAGTTGAGAGTCGTTGGGCCGCGAAAACGAACCGTTGTGGACAAGAGCAAGTCACGCGTCAGCCACACTGGATTTCGTGTCGCCACGCATCATGGCAGCCAGGTGGCTGGAGCTCTACTCGTCCAACCCAGACCCACTCTACCGGTGGCTTGTTCTCCCGCAGCCGCCACACAAGGGTGTCTGATTGGCCGGATGCTCGCCCAATTTTCAGACCAGGCGAAATAGTTCGAGCTCTAAAAAAGGGATTCATGATCCTTACCAGCAGTCTCGTTGACCCCAATTGCCAGAGATGGCGAACCCCAATGTGATGCGGCCATCGATAGGCCGCATATTGCGGCTCCAAGAGACCCGGAATTCGCTGTCCACGACATCGGCAACGGCGGCGCAGCCCCGAACCGCAGCGGCATGCTTCTCGACTTCGGCTGCGCACTCGGTGCGCAAGACTCGCGACAACAACCGCCTGCGAGGCGTCAGTACCATGAAGAGGACTGGCCCCCGTGAACCGCTCTCCGTCTCCTGGGAGACGCTCCCCAAGCCGGCGAACTATAAGCCCGAGGTTGCGGTGGACCCGAACCACGGGCTCTGGGGTTTCTTTTACGGCAAGAACAAGCTCTTGCAGACACCCAAGGAGGACCAGTCCCACGGCCGCGCGTGGACGGTGGAGGAGCTGCGGAAGAAGAGTTGGGAAGACCTCCACACGCTGTGGTATGTCTGTTTGAAGGAGAGAAACCGCATCTCGACGACTAGTCGCGAGCGGGAGAGACGCAAGCTTGGATTCGGCGCCTACGAGGCCAACGAGAGGGACGAGACGGTTCGTGATTGACTCCGGCCACGCCGACACAGAGAGATGAACGCTGACAGGTTCGGGTGCAGGTTGTTACGACGATGAAGGCGATCAAGCACGTCTTGACCGAGCGCTTTTACGTCTGGGAGGATGCGCGCAGGCTGGCGGAAGAAGACCCCGAGGTCGACCTCTCAGGCGAGGGAGAGGCGTACACGCCCCTGTCGGGGTATGAGGATCCGACGAGCAACAAGTATTTGACTGAGGACGTCGAGGTCGCTGCTGTCGAGTCACCAGCCGTTGCGGCTCCGGTCGAGCCCGAGACGGAGAATAAGGAGGCCGCGCCGCAGGCTGAGCAGGCCGAACGCTCGCTGCCGAAACCGAAGTTTTGAGCAGTCCGGTAGCTGTCTCCGTTCGGTATGAGGGCCGACGACGGAAGAGCCATGTACCATTGTATCCAGACATGTATAGACCCTTGTACGATACGAATATTTTGTGCCAGGCATATCGTCGAAAAGCCGACTAGAAATGATTGCCTTCCTCCCCACCCTGCAGACGCACAACGGCTGTTGATGTGTGAGCTCGTGGCTGAAGCGAGCGAGACACACGACATAACTGATGACCATTTTCATAGGTCACCCAGTCTTCACACACAGTAAAAACAAGCATTTGCATAATTCCGAGAAGGACTGTCCGTAACTGAGTAATGGATGAATCGAGACTTGTGTTTGCATTGATGTTACAGAACCGGGACGGGGAAGGGCGGGAGCTGGGTCCTGGTAGCAGGGACAGAACCAATCACACCGCCGAGTACACCAGCGAGCCAGCAGAACACAAAGAACGAGACCGACAAAGGGTCCAGGAGGTACCTGACATGCCCGGCCTTTACCTCAAGCGGCCTCGGTTGGTCCATGTCTTCTCTGCTAGCGGTGAGCAGGTGCCCAGCGCAAGAGAGCGGGCGGGGAGCGGACCTCTTGCATGGGCCGCTGGTAATGCACTGGAGCCAGACAGGCCCAGGCGAGCGCAGGTACTGGTCCCCAATGACACACTCGACGCTGAACCCCTCCAAAACCACTGGGTGACCCAGGCAGGTAATTGCAGTAATCTAGCAATTCTACGGCATAGCAGGTGGCCCTCGCCCCCCCCCACTCGATCCTCTTTTTGCTGCATTTCCGGTCCCATGTCTGCTTGCAACACCGCAACGAACATAACCTACTTTTCTCCCCGTTCCCATTTCCACCTTCCCCCTTCCTCTGCCAAACCAACCCCCGATCCGCCTTTTTAAATACAACAACCACACCACTCCTCTATTGCCGCAACCATGGATGAGATCGCAAAGGAATACGATGTTATCGTGCTGGGCACTGGTACGTGACGTTGCGCCCGTCCTCCTTTGTTGCCCCGCATCGTCGCTCGTCGGCGTGTGGGGTCCCCCCCTCCCCTCCCGAGGAGCTTCCTGGCTAACTGACCATCTCACCGTCTGCTGCATCTAGGCCTGACTGAGTGTATTCTCTCTGGGTGAGCAGGCTTCCGCTATCGTCGTCGAGTTGTTTTGTGGCATGCTAACAGTCCTCCCCCGCGTGCAGTGTCCTCAGTGTGAAGGGGAAGAAGGTCCTCCACATTGACCGCAATGACCACTACGGCGGGTAAGTTCCCATCGCCATGGCCGGCGCTTGCCTTTCTTCCCCCTCCTTCCAGTGAGCTCAAGCTAACATCCGGCAGCGAGGCAGCTTCCGTGAACCTCGAGACGGTAAACACACCCGAGATCCCTGCCTGTCCCTCGGTCCGAGTTCTGACCATGTGCATTCGCAGCTCTTCAAGAAGTATGGCAACTACGCACAGGGCGAGGAGCCCTGGACAAAGTACGGCCGTCTGAATGACTGGAACATCGACCTCGTTCCCAAGTTCCTCATGTCTGCTGGCGAGCTGACCAACATCCTCGTCTCAACTGACGTCACACGATACCTCGAGTTCAAGCAGGTTGCCGGCAGCTACGTCCAGCAGGGCCAGAGCTCCAAGGCCACCGTCGCCAAGGTTCCCTCCGATGCCGGCGAGGCCCTGCGCTCGCCCTTGATGGGCATTTTCGAGAAGCGCCGCATGAAGAGCTTCATTGAGTGGATCGGCACCTTCGACATCAAGGACCCCGCCACGCACAAGGGTGAGTGCAGCCAACCGCTTCGGAGCTCCCAAGCACCCCAAAACTCTCGCAGTGGCTGACATTCGCAAGGCCTTGACATCAACACGGTCGCCATGAAGGAGGTCTACGACAAGTTCGGCCTCGAGACTGGCACTCGTGACTTCATCGGCCACGCCATGGCCCTCTTCACTACCGATGACTACCTCAACAAGCCCGGTGCCGCCCCGGAGGCCATCGAGCGCATCCGCCTGTACGGCACCTCGGTTGCCCGTTACGGCAAGTCTCCTTACATCTACCCTCTGTACGGTCTCGGCGAGCTTCCCCAGGGTTTCGCCCGTCTGTCGGCCATCTACGGAGGAACCTACATGCTCAACACCAACGTCGACGAGGTGCAGTACGAGGGCGGCAAGGCTGTCGGTATCAAGGCCACCATGACTGGCGTTGAGGAGATGAAATTCGAGACCAAGGCCAAGATGATCCTCGGCGACCCCAGCTACTTCCCTGGCAAGGTCAAGGTTGTCGGACAGGTCCTGCGTGCCATTTGCATTCTGAAGCACCCCCTGGCCGGCACCAACGACGCAGACTCTGCCCAGCTCATTATTCCCCAATCCCAGATTGGCCGCAAGAACGGTACGTTTGAGTGATTGAGGCAAAGATGCTCGGACGAGACGGCTAACCAAGGCTAGACATCTACATCGCCTGCGTCTCATCGGCACACAACGTCTGCCCCAAGGGCTACTGGATCGCCATCGTCTCGACCATTGCCGAGACCAACGCCAACCACCACGTCGAGCTTCAGCCCGGCCTGGAGCGTCTCGGTCAGATCGAAGAGCAGTTCATGGTAAGCGAAATTGTGAAGGAGATTGTGCACATGATGGACACGGCACTAACGGTTTTAACACAGGGTGCCCCTATCCCCATTTACGAGCCCACGGACGACGGTACCAGCGACAACGTCTTCGTCTCCAAGAGCTACGACGCCAGCAGTCACTTCGAGAGCACGACCGACGACGTCAAGGACATCTACCGCCGCGCCACCGGTGAGGAGCTCAAGGTTGAGGGCCTGAGAGAGGGTCTCCAGGTCGCAGCTGAACAGTAGGCGCAAGGTAGTTATGGAACCAAGGAAGGAGTGCTATAGGCGGGGGGGAAGTCGAGTCTTGAGAGGCATCAAGCCCTCGTATGTCACAACAGACGGCAATCCGGAGTAGATATATATACGCCTCGGACGTAAATCATCTTGGGGTGGGACTCTTCAAAGTTTTTTCAAACCAAATTACTGCACTTTTTAATCCCTTCATCCATAGTGTCCGCAATGCAAACGTAACATGCGGACGAGCACGATGCCAGCTTTGGGGGGGCCATTGACTCAATTTCAAGTTTCTCATTTGGGGTATTCAACGGTCCTTTTTTGGGCCGTGTGACTTCTGTGGCTGACGATCGTATAAACGATATGCACACACACACACACACACACACACACACATCAGAGCAACCGCGCGACGCTTTTGATGTACGTTTCTCAAAAGGCACGTCAAGACTTTTTTCCCCTGTCCTGCATCCCGTATTCTTTTTTTTTCTTTTCTTTCTTTCTTTCTGGTGATCGCCAAGCGAATGATGAAGGAGTCAAAAGAAAAGAAAAAAAAACAAGCAAGACCAAACGCCACCATGCCGAGGTAAGGGGAGGAGAGAAAGAGGTTGGAGAAAACCAATAAAACCAAAACAAACAAACCCCCAAGTGAGCCATATCTACTTTTGTTCTCTTTTCCGTAATCATCCATTACCGTCCTTAACGTCTCTGGTTCTTGCCCAAGCCACGCTTGCCAGCAACCTGTAGGAAAGGGGGGCAGTTAGCATGCTGTCGCAGTTCGGTCTGGACCCCTGGGAGAAGGGGGAGGGGTTTTAAAAAAAAATGCAGCAGGTAAAAAAACGTACCAAATGTCTTTGCAGAGAAACAGTGGTGTGGCGATCACCCTCACCCTGTCTGGCCATGCGGTTCCTCTTCTTCTGGGACAGCTTGGCGAGACGGTCGGCCTTGGTGCGGTCCTCGACGTCCTGGACACCGTCCTCGCGGCGGTTGACGATGGGGGCGCGGCTCTGGCTGCGGGCACGGCTGTGGGAGCGGAGGCGCTCCTTGGGGGTGGCGTCCGTGTCCATCATGTCGACGTCCTCGGTGCCGGCGCGAGAGCGGCCGAGGGAGCGGCCGCGGGGGCGGGACTGGGCGCGAGCGCGGCTGACAATGTCGGTGGTGTCGACACCGAGCTGGTCGAGGGCGTCGTCCATCTGGGACAGCGGCACCTTTTGCAACTTGCGCGGGATGATGGCCTGGTTCTTGAGGTGCTTCTTCATCTTGGCCTCGTTGCGGATGAGGGCCTGCTTCTCGCGGATCAGCTCGGCCTTGGAGAGCACGTCGGCCTCCTCCTCGTCGTCAAGCTCCTCGTCCGACTCGTAAAAGCCCTCCTGCTCGAGGCGCTCCTCCTCCTCCTCGAGCGCCTGCAGCTTGGCGTCGATGTCCGGGTCGATGAAGTCGTAGACGTTCTGGCCGTTCCACACCTCGGGGATCTTGTCGTGCTTCCACTCCGGGTTCTTGAGGAGCCAGTCCTGACGCATGTCCACGCTGTAGACGCCGGCGCCGCCGTTGTCGGCCTCGACGTCCTTGGCGAGACGCCGGCGCTCCGGGTCCTCGCGGCTGTACTTCTTGAGGTTCTTGACGCCCTCGGGAATGAAGGTCTGCAGAGGCGCGGTGCCGGGCTGGGCGACGTGGATACGGGCCATGACATCGGCGAGGCGGCCGCCAATGTTGCCGCTACTGTTGGTGCCGGCGTTGAGCTTCTGGGAGACGCGCTCGGCGATGAGACGCTCGCAGACGGTGTTCTTGACGTGCTGGACGCCCTCCTGGGTGTTGCACGACAGCTGGAGCATCTCGACATCGCCCGACTTGAGCAGGCCCTGGAGCTGCGCCTGGGTCGCGGCGTCGAGGTCCTCCGGCTTGACGACGTCGATCTTGTTGATGACGATGAAGACGATCTTGTTCTGGAACAGGGGCTTGATGCTCTGGAAGAGGTTGATCTGGGCCTGGATCGAGTAGCCGCACTGCTCACTCAGATCCATGAAGTACATGATGGCGGAGCGCAGATGGGCGATGGCGGTAACGGACTGCATTTCAATGGTGTTCCTGGATGGGAAAGTCAGCATCTCGTGCCACAGGCCTTTTGTGAGTCTGGTTCGTGTGCTTACATCTCCTCGAGGGGATGGTCGAGAATACCAGGAGTATCAATGCACTGGAAACGAAGGTAGTTGTAGTCGAAGTGGCCGACAAAGAGCGACTTTGTCGTGAAGGCATACGGCTGGACGTCGACGTCGGCTCTGGAGACGGACTTGAGGAAAGAAGACTTTCCGACATTAGGGAAACCCGTGACGAGCAGGGTTCTGGTGTTAGGGTCGATCGAGGGAAGACGGCCAAGATCTGGTTCGAGTGTCAGCGAGCTCAAGCGCGCCTTTGAAGGGGGTTGCCTCTGGTCATCACTCACGCTGTCTAACCTGGTCGAGGTACACCAAGGGGTCCTTGAGGCGCTTGATGAGCGTCGCCATGCGACCGAGCGCAGCGCGCTTCAGCTGCTTGCACTGGAATAGAGACTGGCCATACTTGAGAAGGCGAACGTAGTCTCTGGAGATGGTCTCGATCAGGTGCTTGGCGGTGGACAGCTGGCCGAGGGCGATCTTGAAGTGGTCGGCGTCGTAGAGGGTGTTGATCAGGTCCTTGTGGAAGGGGTGGATGTCGTTGAGGCGCGGAAACGACTCGATGATCTGGCCGAGCTTCTCGGTGATGGTCTCCTGGGTGAACTTGACCTTGCGGGTGTAGAAGCCGCGGATTCTCGAGATCTTGAAGCCGGATCGGATCTGGGTGGGCAGCCGGCGCTGCGTCCTCGAGAGGACGATGTCGAGGAACTCTTGCGAGTTCGGGACCGGGGGGAGGTCCTTCCACCTGTGGTTCACGGGTATTAGCGAAACCGTCTTGGGGACTGAGAGGGGAAAGGGAGTCCCAAAACATACTGAGTCTTCATTTTGGGCGGCTGGGGGTTCTGCGTTGGAGTGAGGAAACAAAAACTCGAAGCAGAGTCCTCAGATGTTGCTATCGGTCAAGGTGCACCGCCAATGGACTGAACGTAGCGCTAAGGATGGGGGGGGCGGCGAACGTCCTGCACACACAAAAACTTTTCGGTTTGCTTATCTTATCATCCGCACGGACGAAAAGTGTCAGGGTGATGGGGTCTGGCATCGCATCCTGGCTGGCGCCCGGTTTTTTCTGTTGTACATCTGCCGCCAGCTTTCTTCTAGTCCAGTCACGATCTAGTGTTCTTTCATGTAGTGTAATTATTGACTATCTTGCTTATCAATTCCCTTATTTTTCCCCCTGCGATTTTCGTGTATTTGGTTTTCACTTGAGCCGTTGCTAAACCAGTGGTGTAATCCTGTCTCAACAGTAGTACATGCAGGGACTGCGGATTCTTTCTCCTCCCAACTTTTTTTTTTTTTTTTTTTGAATTTTCTTGGTGGGGCAAGTCCCGCGGGGCAGACGTCTATCGATGGAGGGGTATCAGGAGCCGTCCCTCCGATTTTGATCTCTCACTCTCCAGCCTGCGACAAGTCAAACTTCTGGAGACCGAATCCCGAATCCAACGTCCCTTCCCTCCCTTCCCAAAAGAACCCCGATACGCACCGTCTCCAAAATGGCTTCCCAGCTGCCCCCCTACAAGCAAGACTTCCTCAAGGCCGCCATCGCCGGCGGCGTCCTGAAGTTCGGCTCCTTCGAGCTCAAGTCGAAGCGCATCTCCCCCTACTTCTTCAACGCCGGCGACTTCTACCGCGCTGACCTCCTGCGCGCCATCTCTCTCGCCTATGCCCACACCGTCATCGAGGCGCGCGAGGCCACCGGCCTCGACTTCGACGTCGTCTTCGGCCCGGCCTACAAGGGCATCCCCCTCGCGACCTCTACCACTGACAAGCTCGCCGAGCTCGACCCGGCCCGCTACGGCACCACCTGCTACTCCTTCGACCGCAAGGAGGCCAAGGACCACGGCGAGGGCGGCAACATTGTCGGAGCGCCCCTCAAGGGCCAGAAGGTTCTGATCGTTGACGACGTCATCACCGCCGGCACCGCCAAGCGCGAGGCCATCGCCAAGATCCGTAAGGAAGGCGGCGAGGTCGTCGGCATCGTCGTCGCGCTGGACCGTATGGAGAAGCTGCCCGCCGCCGACGGCGATGACAGCAAGCCTGGCCCCAGCGCCCTCGGTGAGATCAAGAAGGAGTACGGTATCCCCATCTTCTCCATCCTGACTCTTGATGACATCATTGAGGGTGCCAAGAGCTTTGCTTCCGCCGAGGACATTAAGCGCACGGAAGAGTACCGTGCCAAGTACAAGGCTACTGACTAAGTTTCGGGAATGGGATTTGCTCTGGTTTGGGATGGTGTAAGGCTGGAGTTATGGCGACTGTTGTCGGTTCTGGCTCATAGTCAGCGGTCGGCGCTCATACGGGTGGACAACTCCATCGGGCCTCTTTGGGCCATACGCATGGGATGACAAAAAAAAAAGGTGGCATAGGAAGCATCGTACGCATTTGGAAATACCTCACGCCGAAATGAAGACTAAAGCATGGGAGTTAAAGTCAGACTCTTGTGGTATTTTTTCTTGCTCAGATCTCGGGAGCAAGGGTACACTCTATGTCCCGATCCTCATCTGGTTGTCTACCTCAGTATGCATCTTTGGTGCACCGTTTAGAGATTCTCATCTCGCAGGTATCATTACGCAGTAGGTAAGAAAAGCAAGAAAGAAAGAAAAGGAGCCAAGCCATCAACCCATAAAAACATACAGTCGTCTGTCTCATCCCGCCATAAGCCATTTTCGGTTTGTTCGTCAGCAAGAGAAAGACGGCGAAGGTCAGGTCCCTTGCTGAGCTCGCTCGATGAGAGGGCACCGGTATAGAACGTATGATCAAAGCCCTCAACGATTGCCTCTGAGGCGGAGGGCGCGGTTCTACTCGTCTTGCGTTAATAGGGCGTCGGCGGGCTTCTTAGCGGGGCCAGAGAGGTCGATTATCTATGAAAAGGGGACGGATGTTAGCCATCTACTGTCCAGGCTATGATATCGACGGCTTTTCTTACCATGTCATGCCAGCCGCCACCACCGAAGGAGGAGGTCTTGCTATGGCCGAGAGACTTAAAGCCAAAGCGCTCGAAGTAACTCACCAGCCACTGTGCCATGTCAGTATCGGCCGACAGCGAACCGCAAAAGGTACAGTGGTCCACTTACGTTCTGGCAGGTCAAGGCGATACGATCGGCAACTCCAGACTCGTTGATCTGCTGTAGATACGCTTTCATGAGCAGCCTGCCTAGGCCGCAGTTTTGAAGCTTGGGAATGACGGCGAAGGAGTGAATGCAGACGGTGCGACCCGTGACTTTGTGGCCAAGACCCGAGTCCTTGGACGCTTTCTGGTCGCGCCAGTTATCGGGACAGGCCATGTCCTCATCTGTGACAACGGGGCCGTTGCCGAGGGTCGCGACGATGTGACCGAGCATAACCATTTTGGCTTGGTGCGCACGGCCAGTCTCAACGACATTGGCAACTGCGAGGGTCGGGATAGGGAAGCTCCCAACCTCGCTCGGGACGATGCTGCAGAATAAACCAGTGCAGATGTTTGAGCAGTTCGAGAGGCGGTACTCGAACTACAATGATGTGTAAGTACAAGTGAACCTTGGGCAGGGAACAAGACTGTGAGGGCATGCCCGCGACGGCGACCACAGTTGGCCCCGAGACTGTCTCTCTTCGCGTGCATCGAACAAGTCTCGAGGTCAATAACGGGGATTAGAAGGAAAGCCGCGGAGGTGAGGTGTACAATTGAGGGAGGGGTAAATGGGGAAATCACGGGGCGCGTCAACTCACCTTTTCGCGTGTAGCGCAGTGGTCGGGGAAAGCGACTCTATCGAGTACGACGCAAGACTCCACGTTAGACTCGGTGAGCGGCAGAACAAAGGGACTCCAGCGGAAGGGCAAGTCGCTCAGTTTGAGACGGCCCGAGGTGTGTCGCTTCTTGAGGTCGGAGATGGACTTCTGAGCCTCGACGTAGGACTCGTCACCATCGTCGGAGTCATCAATGGCGCAGTCGGACTTGTTAGCGCCCGGGTTCGCCATGAGGGAACTCTTCTCATCAGGCATGACGAAGAACTGGCGGAATGTGATGTGGTTTCGATTTGTAGATGATGTTTTGGGGGACGAGAGAGAGAGAGAGAGGTAGATCAGACAGGCTTGCGGCGCGGAAGAAGAGCAGGGAAGGTTGAAGCCTGAGTATGAGAGAAGGGACCAGTAACAGGGAGAAGGGCCACAGCAATCAGTCAGGTGCCGCCCTTTCCTTCCTTTGATAGGGTATCGGTTGGAGTGTGGAAAGAAGAAGGAAGGAGTTCCACAACAAGACGAGGGCAGGATCAGTCAGAATGGAGGTCAGAAGGGTCAAAAGGGCGGGTACTGTTGCTGGTGCAGTGGGTGACTGACTGATTGGGCGGGTGCAAACACGGAGGGCAACAGAGGGTACCGGCTGTCCAACTCGGCACTGACGTTGCAGAGCGGGGCCGGACGGGGCTGTGAATCAGGTAATGACCGGCCGGGTGACCGATATGCTAGGCCGGTTGAGCACCAAAGTTCTGGGGCCAGGGCGGGTGTGGGACAGCGGACCACAGAGGGTGAAAGCCTAAAGTGGTGGTTCCAGGCCTAGAAGGGGCAGCACAACGCGCCAAGGGCAAATGAGAAGAAGAGGAATGGCTGGTGCAAGTGATAATGGCCAGAGCCCACAGGAAAGCAGGAAGACCAGGCCAATACAAAGGTTATGCAGTTGGTAGAAGACAGACGGCATTTGCACTGGTTTAGTCTGGGAGAAAAGAAGACGGGAGAATCGGGGTTCAATGACTTGCTATTACGTAGGAAGCAAACTCGATTGGATGCGCCTGAGTTGGCATGAGCATGAGGCGTTTGTCGCGTGACTACTTACCCGCAGTGGCCACAGCTGTGTGGCCTGTTCAGGCCCATGGACGACTTCACGTCAATTGTCCAACTTTCCTTGAGGTTCCCCAAGTTGTGACATAGGGCTAGATGACGCTGTTCATTGTCTTGTCTACGTGGTCACGGTGCGAAGAAAGATCCGTTGTGCAGGGCATTGCGGGTAACAATGGATACCGTAGGTAGTCTTTCTTCTTTCAGCTCCCTTCAAGGACCCCCTCCCCCCCTTCCCGCCTCCAAGGGCAGAGCGAAGCTGGTAGAAGTCTCAAGAGGCTTTACAGTTGGTTGCCAGCCCAAAGTTGGAGAAACATTAATTAGCGACCTGACCTGACCTGTAGGTACCTTGTCCAGTCCCCACAATTGGCCAACCTTCAAGGGATGCCGAGTTTGCGATTCTATCCGTATGTTTGTTTGCTTTGTCACTTTGCTGTTGCTAGAACGGGGCACAGTGAAACACCGTTGAGATGCCACCACGGTGTGTCACACAGCTGGAAGAAGGCTCTCACCTGATATCGGCCTCAGTCAACTGGGAAGTCCGGAACGGAACTCTAGCCAACCACAGTTCCGGCCCTCCAGCGGAATTAACAGAACCGGACGCTCAACTCTGAGGTGACATTGGTGGAACGACGTTGGAGCATTCCCAGTATAGGTAGAGAGGTTAACATCCATGTATGTCATTGGGCCTTTTCCATGTTCTGTCTCAGACATTGGTCTTCGGCACTTGCAAACGTGTTTACTAGCAATACCGGCTCGTATGCCGTTCGATTTGGCGGACGGATACGGCTGGCAATTCCTGAAGCGTTCGCTAATCAGCGCCTTGAAAAAGAAATTTGGCCAAGTCTCGGATGTCAATTTCGGGTAGCCGGACATGATGTGCGAGGTGACTCGGTCAGACTTGGTGGGACGTGAAGAAGCATGTGTTGATGAGAGACGATTCCCATGAAGGCTGATGCTGGCTGGCTAGCGTGCAGTCTCCGCATGCCGCAGATGTAGGAAAAGAAAAAGACAAAAAAAAGGCATGCGTGCTTATCCTGCGTGTTGCCTGAACGGCGGGGCAGCATCCGGATGGAGCGAATAGAACCAACGATATGGTATAATGTCATTTCTATTTGGCATCAGCTTCAAGCACAATGATCGTATGCCGAGCATCATCGTACAGGAACCTACAAAAGGTGTTGGCAGGATATGTCGCCATGGGCATTCGATTGGTGGCCTCTTTCGAAAATGTGACCTCACCATTCTCGTGCGGCGTACTGGGCCAACGGAAGGTGATTGAGGCGCGAGAGGGGGCGAAATCACTTGCAAGGGTGGTTTCAATCGCTGCTGCGAGTTGGCAATAGTAATAGACGGGCTATCTCGCATCTGCCGGATCCTTGAAGTATAGGTAATTACTGTTGCTCCGGGGCTTCGTCAACGATCAGCTCGTGGGGGCCAGTATGCCGTCGAGAGGGACTTGGCCGCGATGCGGTCGCCTCAACACCTCGGAATTGGGGTGTGCTTGCTTGCAGCGCTTTCCAACATGATGACTCTGTTATGTTGGACAATCGCAGCAGTGTCGTCGTATTGTGAAAACTGTCAGTTGACAGTCGGTCTGGCCGGGCAAGTTCATTCCTATGGGCTTCCATCGGCAGGCACCCGCTCTCGGCCTGGCCACTAGCTAAGGTGATTACCTAATAAACCAGTGCTTCTCATTCTATCTTGTCCTGCTCTGTATGCATGTGGCGCCTGGCGCCATGGCAGGCCACCCGCGCCCCAGTCCCCGCCTCTCCCGTCGTGGTCCCCGTGCGGGCTAACTGTTAGGTGGTTTGTTTAGCTACAGGCTGCAAACGGGGGAAATAGAGGGGTCTCATCACTGCACCCACCTTCTTGACGAAACACCCAGCTAGGTGCTTAAGCGTGTGGCACGAGCTCTCCCATGCTCTATTTACTAAGGGTAGAGAGAGAGGGGCCTACCTGCTTAGGTACTCGTGTCGTGCATCTCCATTCCCTAGAGACCTTCTACCTTCAAGAACCCCATCAACACACCTCGTTCCTGCTGTCCAATCATCCAACACGGACCAACTACTCCATCGTTCAATCGAACTTCCCCCTTCTCTCCCTCTCTCTCTTCTTTTTCATTTCCTCTCCTCGGAGCAACCAGCCAGTCAAGACCGTTATACCCTTCTGTCCTCCAAACTATTTGCCTTTGGATGAGGAGACGTCATCTGCTGTGTTGCCTGGATTTTGGCCCCTCTACAAACCGCCCCTCCTTCCACTGAAGCTCCGTGCTGAGCCTAACTTTCCCTTCGCTTTCGTAATCGTGAAACTCAACGCCCTGTCAGCTGCTTTGCGTTCCTGCTTTGTTCTCACCGCCTGAGAGCCATCCTGCCATTAACATACCCAGAAACGAACACCCAACTAGATCCTCTCCCTCATCAGAACAAACGCCCAACATGTAAGCTTGCTGCTTAAACTGAAACCGGACAAAGTCTCTCCCCCACGGCTGACAGCTACCCCGCCAGGCGCATTACGTTGAGCATAACGAACCCCGAGATCGAGGACCAGGACCTTCTTACCCTCGAGATTTTCCCCGACATGCCTGTGTCGACCCTCCGCGAAGCTATCCAAGCCGAGACCACGATCGCTCCCACTTCCCAACACCTCTACCACAACGGTCGCTTGATTCAAGATGACACCAAAACCATGGAGCAGCTACAGATTGCCGACGGCGAGATGCTGGCGTTGCACGTGAGGGACATGCAAGGAAGCACTGGTGTTCCGGACCAGGGAAGAAGAGGTCCGCCGCGCCGACGACCCGGGGGCCAAGATCCGGAGCTCATCCGCCTCCAAATACTCGGTGACCCAAACCTGCGTGCCGAAGCAACCCGCCAGCAGCCCCAGCTCGCCGCCGCGCTAGACGACCCGCAGCGCTTTGCCCAGCTTTTCAACGACAGCTATGATCGGGAGCAGCGAGAGCGCGAGGAGCGTCAGAGACAGATTGCACGGCTGAACGAGGACCCCTTCGATGTTGAGGCTCAGGCAAAGATCGAGGAAATGATCCGCCAAGAGAGGGTCATGGAGAACCTCCAGAACGCCATGGAGCATAACCCCGAAGGTATGAATGACATGGGCGCCGAGACGTCCGAGGACAGACTCGGAAGCTAACTCTTGCCTAGTGTTTGGGCGTGTGCACATGCTGTATGTCGACGTCGAGGTCAACGGCCATAGGGTGAAGGCGCTTGTCGATTCTGGAGCCCAGGCCACAATCATGTCCCCGTCCTGCGCCGAGGCTTGCGGCATCATGAGACTCGTCGACAAGCGGTTCGCGGGAGTGGCCCGCGGAGTGGGCACCGCCAACATCATTGGCCGCGTGCACTCGGCCCAGATCAAGGTCGGCTCAATGTTCCTGCCTTGCAGTTTCACTGTCATGGAGGGCAAGCAGGTGGAGCTTCTTCTCGGTCTCGACATGCTCAAGCGCTACCAAGCCAGCATCGACCTGGCCAAGGACAAGCTGATCATCCAGGGTGAGGAGGTGCCTTTCTTGGGCGAGGCTGAAATCCCCAAGGAGAGCGAGGAGGCGTTGGAAGAGGAGCCCAGGCTGCCGGGACCGGCCGGCACCACCATTGGTCAACGATCTGGCGTCGTCAGCGGCCCCCAGGGCACTGCCGCTGCCACGCCACAACAAAACCCTCCCCAGCAGGCGCCTCAGCAGCAGGCTGCTGCTCAGAGCTTCCCCGAGGAGCACATTAATCAACTCATGGCACTAGGTTTTCCTCGAGAAGCCGCCATCAACGCGTTGCAGGCAACAGGTGGCAACGTCGAGTTCGCCGCCGGCCTTTTGTTCGGAGCATAGGCCGCCCCGAGGTGCGGTGCATTGGATGTTGTTTAGGCTGAGTAGTTAGGAGCCCGCATGGGACATGGGCGTGGTCGGTACGGTTGGCATGGACGGTTTTGGAACACTCGAGTCGGGAGGTAATTTAGACTCGTCGGAATGAATGCATGCGTGGCTTAATGCGGGTTGCATCGAAGCGATCAATAGAGCATTTCCACACGCTGAGACCATGACAAACAACACCGGATTAGCGTCCTGAAGCTTTGCCACGTTCGGCCTTCCCTCTCACTGTCACTTGTGCCGTGTGCCTTTAGGTTAAGAACGAAGGCAGTGAAGACTCCCGCACCAGGCGAAGATTGATAGCAGCTTACTGTCCGAAATTGGAAACTTGATTGCATGTGGTTCTCGAGTATGCGAAAACCCCTAGTCGCAGCCAAAATATAAGCACATGTAACTTTTTATTTACCAGACACACACGCCAGCGCACATTCGAAAACGTACAGTCGGCCAGATCACCGAATCTTGTACAGGCACGGCTTGAGAATGGCCGATTCATCCACCTTCTCCTCTTCCGTCTCCCACACGAAGCGCTTCTGCTTCTTCTTCTTCTCTTTGTCGACGAAGCCGGCCGCCTTGGCGGCGGCGAGACCCTTGCCCTTGGTGGGCGCCGCGCCCTTGATGAAGCGCATCTTGACAAACATCTTGTTAGACATGTCTACGGCGCCCTTGTTGCCCTCGCCCTCGCCCGCGAGCACGAAGCCGCGCTTCCTCAGGGCCTCGACAAAGGCCGACACGTCCGTCTCGCCGCGCTTGTCCTCGTGGCCGTCGACCTCGACGGCGAGGGCAACGCGGTCCGCCTCCGTCTCCTCTGGCTCGCCCGCCTTGCCCTTGTTGGCGGCGGCGGCGGCCTTCTTGCGGTTGCCGACGCTGTGGGAGACGACGGCGTTCTTCTGGCGCACGGGGCCGAAGCGGGACTTGATCTCGGCGACCCAGAGCTCACCCTTCCAGTGGAGGATGCGGTAGGCCTCCTCGACGAAGTCGAGCCAGTTGGTGCCCATGAGGGCGAGGCAGAAGATGGCGATGTCGACCGAGTCGTCGGCCAGCGGGAGGTTGGCGATGTCGGCCTTGATGACGTGCTCGGCGGGGGAGTGCAGGTCGTAGCTGAGGACCTTGAGCTTGAGCTTCTCGGCCTCGGGCATTAGCGTCGACGCAAGGCGGGCGTCGCCACAGCCCAGGTCGGCGACGTAGCATACACCGTCGGTGCGCGGCAGCGGCGCGGGCCCAGCGGACGCGGGCTGCGCCCCGGGGCGGCCGCGAGCGTTGGGGTACCGGGCCCTCGCGCGGAGCTTGATGTCGCGGATGTATCCGTCGACGGGGTTCTCGGGCCAGACCTCGACCTGGCGGCGGAATCCCTCGTGGTACTCGGAGAACATCTCGGGGGACTCCTCGAAGAGCTGGTAGGCCTGGGCCGAGGGACGGGTGTAGAGCGTCTCGTTGAGGTGGCGGAAGCGCGCCGAAATGAGCTTCTGGCGCATGGAGCGCTGGAGCGGCGTGAGCTTGGCCGCGGGCGGGGGGACGGGCGGCACCGAGGCGGCGATGGCCGCCGCAGCCTCCTTGGCCGCCTTCTTCTCGTCCTCCGCCGAGGCCTCCTTGCTGGGCGTCGTCGGCTTCTCCTTCCTCTGCTTCTTGTCCTTCTTGTCGGACCTGGGCGTCTCCTGCGCCTCCCCTTCGCTCTTCTTGTCCTTCTTTTGCTTCTTGCTCGGCTTGGGGGTGGCCGCCTCCTCGCCGCCGCCACCGTCGTTGCCGTCGACGTCGTCGTCGACCGGCGCGGCCCTCTTACCGCTGCCCTTCTTGGGCTCGTCGTCCTTGGCTTGGCCAAACACGCGCTGGTTGACGATGACCTTGTTAGCGCCCGTGCCTGGGGGCTTCTCCTCCTTCTTGGCCTTCTTGCGCTTCTTCGCACTGTTGTTCTTGGACGTGTTGTTCTTCTTCTTGCCGGTCTGGGTTTCGGGTTTCAGGGCGTCCGCCGAGACGGACCATCCTGGGACGGCGAACATTTTTGAGAAACTTGTTCCAAGGTGACGTGACCCGCGGTGGTTGGTTTTATGTGAAGACGCCGAAGGATTATGAAAACGGTGTTGTGATGGATGGATCGTAGCTCACGCTCACGCTCATGCTCAGTCTCAGTCTCGGTCGTCTCATGGCTTATCCGCTCTGAATTTTTTTTTTTTGCCTTCGTATCCTTCCCCAGAGAATCCCTTATCGCACCCCTGCCTTCTGATCGACGCTAGGATGGGGCAGGCGATAGTGGACCGTGCGCCCCCACCTTTCGTTCCTCCCGTTCCTGGCTTCTCATCTCAATCTTCTAGACCTCCTGAGCTTCAACGTCTACTTGGTAAAACACATATCTCTATCAATCATCCATTTCTCCCATTACTGATCGAAAATCCTTGGCGCGATCAGGCTGTTAACCATGTCTTTGTCTTTTTCTGGAAAGCCTTGCTGACCATACCAAACGCTCCGTCCTCTCTCCAATCTTGATCGAGCACAACTACTGGAAATGATCCTGCCATGTCTACCATCCTCTGTGGGAGACCACATGATCAACGGGCCTCGTATAAGTCTCCGGGGTCTCAAGGGTTGTCTCGTTGATAACGAAACGAGATATATATAACACTTTGGTTTTTCCGACAATGGTTCGATCGCTGTTGATTACCAGCATATCTCACAAGGCCTAACGATTCCAGTCGAAAGGCCCCATTGAAATCTTACTGCTATCGATGCCTCCTATCCGCTGGTCCGTCACTTCGGGCTCCCAAGACGTCAATAACCAGGCGCGGTCATGGGTCTCGCCTAGGAGACGTTATACAAGGTCCAATCGACCTGCCTCAATAACTCCCACTTCTTCCGGAATCCAACCGATTGCGACTGAATGAACGGGTGGGGAAAAAGACAACAAGAACTGGTTCCAGGCTGCATGTGGGCTCCAACACGTCTCACAATACTAGTGTGTGGGAGCCTTCTGAAGAGCCGCTCCTCGCAAGGTGCTCAGAGTGAGACGGGGCGTGGACCGCGTCAGACAATCAATCCAAAAAAAAATCAAAATCAAAATCGGGAACACCTTACCGGCAGGCCCAGCGAGTACCGCTACGATCATCGACTTTATTCATGGAAGATGCGGCAGTTTCCTCGGCAAGTGCGTCGGAATCTCAATCCGGTCAAACCTGATCAACGGGCCACGGCGATCGAGACCGTTGGCTATGCTTTCGGCGACGGCGCTTGAATCGTCAGCCTAGTAAAGTCGACGCGATCTCTGGGCAGAAAATCTGCCATCGGGAGAGTCAAGAACGACCAAATGCATGGATGACACTGCCACGAAAATGGAATGTCTGTTCGGCGAACGGTCGGTTTAACACGCAGAAGCCCGACCTTTGTCCCGAGAATACGGCCGCGGCGCATTATCCGGCGTCACGGGAAGCCGTTCCTACATATTCTTGACGTTGTCAACGTACAAATGAGAACGAAGCGGTAGGGCATGAAGGCACGACAAGACGGATGGCAACATCCGGGGCAAGAACCCATCTTCCAGATCAATTCCTTGCTGCCGTGTAAGACGGAGCGAATATGGGCTCTTTTCATCAGCAAACATATGGAAGAAGGTCAAGCCCTTGAGGAAGGCGGCTGTGTTCTGGTACACGCGACGCAATGAGGCGTATCGCCAAGAGCGTCTGTGTCTAACTAGTGGGCTGACGCCAAATCGGGGCGTTCGAAGGAGCGCCGATTAGAACTCACCACTGACCCACACGCGTCGAGAATCCCAGGAATGCATGGTAGTCATAAGGCCGGGAAACTGTTGTCCCTCGCCGGGTGGTGTGCCAGCCTAGAGCCGGACCCGTGTGGCTGCGAGAAGGCTACCTGCATGTTGGCCTGCAGCGGCCATTGTTGTGGGCTTCCGTCCGGGTCAGATACAGTAAAGATCCGGTGCAAGATGCCAAGGTATGTTCCTGCGCATATCGAGGGACGCCGATAAAGCACAAGGCAATGGATCGATGCTGAATATAGCCAGCGTCGCCCAGTAGCGTACGGGCATCGATGGCCCGTAGCGATCAGCGCGACTTGTCTGGTCCGATAATGCGTGAGGTTTGTGTTGCACCCCCCAAGCCAGTTATTTTAACTGCAATGCACCCACTCATCGGTCACACCATCCACGAGGTCGGGAACGCAACGATTGGTCCAGCTTGGTGTCGGATGAGAGGGTGCCTCGAGACTGAGGGGATTGTTGCTGATGTCTCAGCGACATGTCGATGCCTGCCACTCTCCATCAAGTGTGTGTGTTCCCGGTGAAATAGTCGCACCTGGCAGCATGTGGTGGTCTTGTCTTGCGTCTGGGCAACGAGTCAGATACACGCCACCGGGGTTTCTGGCCCAAGTCACCATCCGCGATGATCACGAGGCGTGAGCCGTGCCTGTCTATTTATGAAAATTCAACAAAAGGGAGACGGCTTCCTCGAATACCTTGGCGTCCCACCCGACACATGGCAAGTCAGCTAGCTAGTGGACGGATATAGCATGAGGTGGCATGGGATGGCACGGGATGGCACGGGATGGCATGCATTCTGTTTGGAACGCCACAGGCGGCTGTATTCTTTGGGCGGTGGTTGACAATTTTGACGCCACTTCCATGACGAGCGTAACAAGTATCATTGCTGCACTACAAGCAGACCTACGGATACCTGGCTGGAGGGAGGATTGTTTCGTGGCGAATGGGGGGGGGGGGCAACACAAATGACGCTCTGCGATTTGAGAGACATTGATGCCCGAACCTGAATACAAACCGGACAGCGGACAGCGGGCAGCGGGCAGCGTAGAGATGGCTTCCCATAGCGTATTCGACCGATTGAACACCAGCGGACCGCGTCTTGGTCATTGCTTAGGGCAGACTTCGGACGAGGGTCACCAGGCCAGGACACCCCTGCCCAGCTGGAGTCTAGACCACTCAGGCCTCGGATGAAGATCACATTCGGCATCCCCATCACTTGCACCCGCTCCCATGTCGTCTGAGACTCAGGCGGCGGCGGTATGCTTCTTGACACCTGATGGCACGCCCGGAATCCAACGGCGCGATGCTACCTACGTGAGTATGGATTACGAATCGAACAACCAACCTCGGCTATGCCTGAATAAGCTTGGCCAGCCTCTCGGGTATGCGAGGACAAAGTTTGTCGGGCGGTGCCCGTTGCATCGAGCAGGTCGGCGACTCTTCCGATCCAGCCTCGTCTCCCAGTCTCCGCGGGCAATCAAATCTTGCAAATATGCAACTTTGGGGGATGAATCGGATGGTGTATAGTCAAGACGACGTCTCTCGAGCGAATACAGATGGACACCAGATTTTTTTTTTTTCTGCTTTTCCTTCGAACGGACGGGACAGGGACAATGGCCTAGGCAGAGGCGGCACCCCCCCCCCCCTTTACCCTCAATACTACTATATCCCTAGTCCCGCTACGTCCATCGGTTGCCTGCCATTCGGGACATGAGAGACCCCTGACGGGGACGCTTATGGGGACCCAAGTCTCTCTGCTCTTGCTCTGTACCTACCTAAACGGGCGGGGTACCCAGGAACGAGTGTACACTGGTACAGATGTGGCTTCACTCCGGATGCCGAAGGAGGTCTGAGCCAGCCGATCCACAAACCTACCGAGTGCATCATTGGACATTGGACGCTGGGTGGGATCGATGCCGAGCAGGACGACCCGGCGTGCGGCGTGCTGTGCACCATTTGTGTTGTGCATCCTTTTGCAAGCCACCGTGTTGTTTCCCTCCCGCCATCATCTTGCCGCACCTTTAATTTTGATGGACGAGGGGCACTCGCCAGGGTACCCTATTCTCTCTCTCTACTCCGTAGTGTATCTCGCGGTGGCGGCTGGCCTGCGTTCCACCTCTCGTTTCCCCTGGCTTCTCGTACCATGAACACTCCCTCCGACGTTCTAAATCGTCTTCCAAGCTGGGCATCATTGGCCCGCCGTCCATCACCTCCCACAAGAACGGTGTTGGAGGCAGCAGCGGCAGAGACAACGATAGCGCCTGTAGTACGCAAAGGTATCTCGTGCGCTTGCGAGGGAGAAGAATACTTGGTCCGAGGCTTATAGGGTAAAGATGACACACACAGAGACATTCTTGTCTCGTTCTTTATTTGTCCTAGCGGACCGGTCTGGCGCCTCATTATGCCACATATCGGGGTGAGGTGCCAACCTCCGTCGTCCGCTTCGTCTTCTTCCCTCCAATACCACCCCGGCCCTCCCCGCCTCCTCCCAATCGTTTCCTCGCCGCCGCTGCTTGTCGGCCGTGGCATCCATCCCCGTTGTTTGTGCTGTATCTTCTTTCCAATACTCCGTACACACACCCCTGCTTCTCTAGCCCTGAATAGTGTAAAGATACCCTAACTCGAGACACAATTCGTTGAACGTTTCCCAACCTACCTACCTTGTCTACCTGGCCCTCGGCCGCGGGGACCTATTTCTCTAGTCCTCGTGCGTGTCTTGGGAACAAGGGACGCACTTCCTTCAACTTTTGCTGCAGACATCCTTACCAACCGCAGCCATCCCCCCCGTCCTACCCCACGAGTCCATGCATCTTGTCTAACCCATGACAGCCCATTCGGCGAAGACAAAGTAGCACCGGCCTGTTTCACTTCCTTCCACCGTCCATGGCTGCTTAAAAAGCATCTGTTCCGTGGGTGCCCTTCCTACGTCCCTTTGCCTTCCTCTCTCAATCTTCCCTGCCGCGCACAGGATCGGATAAAACCCGTATAGCCCTTCGTTGCGCTACCGCGATACCATATCACCCCCCCCCCCCCCCGCTCCCTTGGCGCTTGTGGCCTAGCGACGACGCCGCCTCGCTTCCCAGCATCGACTGTCTCCCGAACAGCCCGGCTGTCGATTTTTTTTTTTTATAATTTTTTTAATTTTTATCTGCAACGGTTTCTTTGTCCTCGCAATACTCGACTGGGACTCGGGCTCGACATCTCCCAACTGTGGAGACGTGAGCACCGGCTCTCCGCTGCGCCGCAGGGTTACACAAGCCGGACAATGCAGCACGCTGGCCACCAGATACTGATGGACTAAACAGCCTCGTCGCATACCCGATTCCACTTGCAGCACACTAGTATCGTCTAGTATGGGCTCCCCCACGGCACTCGAGGACGATAAGTCCCCGACCAAGACCTCGGACAACAACGAGGGAAACGGCAACGAGGATCCGAACCGCAAGAAGGCGAACGCGAGGAAAAGGACCAAGACGGGCTGTCTCAGTACGTACGTGGCTACTCTGCCATGTCCTCCTAATCAGACCAGACATTTGGACCCCCAGAGTGCCGTTCTCCTCTCTTCCCGGTAAGATGACTGACTGTGCTCGGAAGCCTGCCGGAAACGCCGCATCAAATGCGATGAAGGACGGCCCATTTGCAATAATTGCATCAAGTCGAAGAGGCATTGTGAGGGTTACAACCAGCGTGTCATCTTCAAAGACCCCATTGCATCATTCAACCTCAATGGCGTCTACGGCCCCGTCGTCTACCCTCCCGAGTCGTCAAACTCGTCTTTCCAGGGTCTTCCCAACCCTCCGCCAAAGCCTTCCAACGGTCCTCCTTTGGCCCCCATAGCTCCCAAGCCACCACAGCACCTGGACTTTCAGGGGCAGCCGATGCTTCACTATGGCCGAGGCTTCCCTGCTCAGCAGCACCCGGGCCAGCTTCAGGGTCAACCCCCGCCGGCACCCTTCGACTTCAACCAGTTTCCGTATGAAGAGCAGCACATGCACTCGAGCCCGTCCATTGTCTCGCCAGCCGGCCAGTTCCAGGCGCAATTTGGTGGGCATCGGAGCAGCTTGGTTAGTCCCAACACGGATAGCGGCGCATTCGTTCACAGCCCGACAGAGCCATGGAGAGAACAAGCAGCGGCAGCAGCACCAGGGCATGCGCGCGTGGAGCAGATGGGCGTGTTCTCCGATCACAACGCGGCTGCCCAGGGAAACCAACTCACAGACAACGCCGAGATAGAGTATCTATACTCGGAGGATGACGAATCTATGCCCGACTCGGATGACGCGTTCGAAGACGTGATGGGCGAGGAGAGCGCCTACGGCCAGCTGGTGCAGAGCCGCAACGATGGCCCCTGGGATGGCTTTGGAACCAGGATGAGAACCTTTTCCTCCTTTGCCGATGAAGCCATCCTCACGTCGTACATACCCACACCAAACCACTCGCCACTGAATGACGAGCGAACAGCCGCTTTGTTCTGGCATTTCATCAACGTCACAGGACCAAGCATGTCTCTGTACGAGAGGCATCCTTTTGACCACTCGAAGCTGGCGAACAACTACTCGGTGCCCAAGGCCGGTCACAACATCTGGACATGTGAGATCATCACCCGTGCTCCATGGAGTCCGGGCACTTTGACTGACTTTGACAGACACTTTCCCCATCATATCCTTCACCCACCCAGCGCTCCTTCAGGCCATGCTGGCCCTGGGGGCGTTGCAAATAGCCAAGCTGCAGAAAGTCCCGCCAATGGCGGCCATGAAGCATTATCACCTCGCCATCCGCAGAATCGCAAAGAACCTGCGGAGCCCCAAGAGGAGAACACAACCCGCCACGCTGGCGGCCTCCCTCCTGCTCGGGTACTTTGAAGTGTGGAACTCGGATCACACAAAGTGGTGCAACCATCTGTTCGGGTCTAGGCTCTTGATCAGGGAGGTGCCCTTCAGGCAAATGACCAAGAACATACTGCCGCTGAAGAGAGCTAGGAGGGCGTTGTTCCAGCAAAGCCAGAGCCAGCAGCTGGACCCCTTTTTCATGGGCCATGACAACACACACATGATGAGCCACGACCTCGACGACCTCGACCTCGGCCTTCTCAGCAGGGTCACAAACCAGCACGTTTCATACGAGGACGATGAGCCGCCGACAGGTAACTACTACACCGACCGGGACATTGAGCATTATGAACACCTCCGAGACTTGTACTGGTGGTACTGTAAGATGGACGTCTACCAGAGCGTGCTAGGAGGAGGGAAACCATTGTGAGTGCCGTCGTCGAAGAACAAGAACGAGAACGAAAAGGGACTTACGAGAACATAGTATGGATTACCAGCACTGGACCCAGTGTCCGCCACGAGCGCCGATGGGCAAGCTCGAGGCCATGTGAGTCCACCGACCCCTCGCGAGGGCTTGACCTCGCTGACACGCACAGATACGGGACGTACGACCACCTAATGCTGCTACTCGGACGTCTGTGCAGCTTCGCAGCGAAGGACCTCCCGAGGAAACGCAAATCGTTCAAGGGCTTCGGACCTCCTGGCGGGCGGCCAGGAGGACCACCAGGGGGCCCGCCGGGCCCGCCACCCAACGCGGGTGGACCGCCTAAAGGAGGAGGCCAGGGACGGCCCCCGCCAGGGATGGCAGGTGGTATGCCTGGAGGCGATCCGCGCCCCGGGATGATGGGCGGGATGCCCGCCGGGCCTCCTGGGGGACCCCCGATGGGCATGCCGCCCGGGGGCACGACGGGAGGGCAACCCAGAGGAGGCTTCGGGGGGGCGGGGGGCGGACCGCCACCAGGAATGATGCCCGGTGGCAACGGCGGCTCGCCGCCCATGTTCCCCGGCATGCTCCCGAACCTCGGCAAGGTGACGTTGCCGATGGGCTTCTCGCCGCCGCGGGACGAAACCCCGCCGGCGCCGGGGGAAGAAACGCCGGAAGATCTCGACTCGGACATGGCGGCGGACGCCGCGATGCGCGAGTGGGAGTCCCTACGCGAGGCGTTCGAGGTCCTTCGGTCCCAGTTCGGCCCAGAGTTCCAGCCCCTGGGCGCCGAGTACGCCGACCGCAGGGACTCGCCGTTCGGGCCGACGCTGCAGTACCGCACCTTCTCCGTGGCCGGCATCTGGATGAACTACTACATGGGGCTGATCCACCTGTACCGCGCGCACCCCAAGATGCCGCCCGCCGCCATGATCGCCGCGGGCGTTCAGGAGCAGCACACGGCCAAGTTCGCCATCGAGATTGGGCGGATCGCCGCCGGGTTGACGGACGACTGCGCCAACGCCGTCGAGATCAGCACCCTCGTCGGCGCGGCGCTGATCGAGAGCTCATTTTGTCTGTTTGTCGGCGGGATCCAGGTACGCTTTCGTCCTCCTCCACGACTCTCGCACACCCCGCCTGGTCGTCGGGCCAGGCCTCTTTCGTATTCCGATAACCTTTACTGACGCACCCTCGCAGTACAAAGACAACGCCCAGCGGCAGTGGGTCGTCAGGCGCATGTACGACATCTCCCGGCTCACGGGCTGGCAGTCGGCGCGGCAGATCGCCGAGGGCTGCGAGTCCGGGTGGAAGAAGGCGGCCGCGATGGGGCGGGGCCCGCCGTATGCGCGCGACCCGGGCCTGCAGCCCGCAGTGCCGCCGCCCGTGTGGTCGAACCCGCGGAGGATCGGCGACCGCCTCGAGCAGCTTGACAGCAACGACTCGATGCTCGTCGTGGCCAAGTCCGAGAGGGCCTTTTACGCCCTCGGCTTACTGAGCGTCGAGCAGGAACTGGAGAGGCTCGTCATCAAGGAAGAGGGGTAAGGGTTCCCGGGTCGTCATGAATGGGATGCTGTTCCGCACAAAAGCTGGGTCAGGGAGAAAAAGAGAGGGACAGAGAGAGAGAGAGAGAGAGAGAGAGAAAGACGGCGGGCACTAGAGATGAGAATATGCTCATGAGAAGAAGCCATCATCACGTTGAGTACATTAATGATACACACTGTGGAAATCGTCTAGTCGTCTGGTACCAGAGTTCGTAATCAGGGGCAAGATTCGTGGTTTTTTTTTCTCCCTGTTCTTGCCTGAGCAGAAAAAGTTCCCACGTGTCTTTCGCTTGCTCTCCTTTTGGCGCATCTTTCGACCCTCTAAACGTTCGTATCATCGTACCCCGCCCTCAATTCTGTTCCTTGACCTGCAGGTAGACCTCTAGTTCGCAGGGAGCCTCTCCACCACGGCGGCCATCTCTTCGTCCGTGTATATTCTGAAGCCCTTTTCCTTCGTTACGCTCGCCAGCTGGACGTTTTTCGAGTCGAGCTTCTCCTCCATCACCTGCTTCAGCGTCTTGAGCACCAGCGTCTCGGCGTCCGTGATTGACAGTGACTGTAGATGAGTTAGCCTCCTGGTTTATGCGCGGGCTCGAAACCGGGGACGGAAGGACCGGTGGGTGTACGAACCTTGTGGTACTCGTTCTGCAGCTCGGCCTGCGCGCCCTCCGAACCGGAACCAATGGCCTTGGCGTCGTACCGGTAAAAGGTGCCACTTGGCTCGGCGTGGAAGAGCTGGGGGCCGTCCTCGTCGTATCCGGCGATCAGGAGAGCGACGCCAAAAGGTCGGGACATGATGGTCTCCTCGCCCTCGGCACCCTCGCCGAAGCGCAGGGCAAGGTCGCAGATGGCCTGGGTGCACGACTCAACGCGGAGGGGCTCGTTGTAGTTGAAGGAGTGGGATTGGGACTCGACTCGGGCGTGCTCGACCATGGAGCGGGCGTCGGCCTGGAGGCCGGACATGGCGCAGCCGATGTGGCGGTCGATCTCGACAATCTTCTCGACGGACGAGGTTTCGAGCAGGGTCGAAGTGACGCGCTTCTCGACGCCGAGAACGACGCCCTCCGAGGTGGCGACACCGATGGCCGTGGAACCGAGCTTGATGGCCTCAAGAGAGTATTCGACTTGGAAGAGGCGACCTTCCGGGGAGAAGGTATTGATTCCTCGGTCTGGGTGACGACTGTTAGGGAACGGGAAGGGCAGGGAAGCTGGAGGGGGTCTTACCGTATTCAGATCTTGCCATAAACATCTTGGCGGTATTGTATGTGTGTAGCTGCTAGAGAAATAGAGAGAAAGCGGCTGGGCCTAATTGACCAGGTGAAATCTTTCGGCAATCGTCGAATGAGGTTTGTCGTAGTTCCAGAATGCGGGATGCTGGGGTTGTGACGGTGGTGGTGGATTGATGGATGGATGGATGGATGGAGGGGAGCTTGGAGGTCCAGGTAACAAACGGTGACGGCGGAAGGCTGAAAAGGCAGGTTGGTGGTGGTTAGGCAAGCACTCGGCCTACGCAGCCGCAAGCTTCCCTTTGGTACAGCAGCAGCCGGCACTAAACAAGCCCGGGCCTGGGACGGGCAAGGTATCTTTCCACAGCAGCTTCGAACCGTGCTCCCCCCCTGTCACCCCCATTTCAAGCTCTGTGATTCGTTCCTCGCGTGACATCCCCTCCAGTACGTAGCGGCTGCCGTCCCTAAACGCTAAAACCCGGAATATTTCAGGGGACTGGCACATCCCGGGCTGGGGTCAATAACACGCGAGGATTTTCCGACTAGACGCGCTCGAGGTTAATGGGCACTAAACCGCGTAAAGATAGTAAGTAAAGCAAGGTAGCAACCCAATCTACCCGCCGAGAGCTACCTGGACTGCGACTCTGTAATAGAGGGGCAGAGACAAAGAGCAACAGAACACTCCGGCCAACCAAAGGCCCCCCCCTCTTCCCATCCCCTCCCTCCACCGGAGAAAAGCAGGCTACGAGTTTCGCGATCGAGGGACTACCTTCCAGGGAACCAAACCCTACCCCGGCGCCTTACACACTTCAAATGCAGTCGGCGACATGTCGTCAGGCACCAGGGTATCAACCCACGAGCGCCGCGCGACCAGCGGCACGGCACCCGCTGCCGACCAGGAACGAGCCTCAAGGGCAGCGCGCATGAATGCCGCCGCCGCCGCCGCCGGAGCCGCAGGGAACGGTACGGAGAGCGCCCAGACGAGCTTCAAAAGCGAGCGCAGCGAAAGGAGCGATGCGCGCCAAAGAGAGCGCGATCGAGAACGGGAACAGCGGCGCGACAGAGCCGCGTCACCCGGGAACCATGCACACAAGCGCTCGGCTTCGGGTAACCCCCGGACGGCAAGCCGAACGCACGATGACAGGCGCGTAGAGGAGAGGAGGACGGAAAGGACGTATGTGACGCAACTCGAGACCATGGTCCAGCGGACGAGAAGTCCTGAAAGGGGAGAGCGGAGAGGCGGAGGTGACAAGGGCAAGGCTACCGAGGCCAAGCTACGGGCGGCTGAGGCGAAGCCCAAGGAGCCCAAGGTTGATGGTCCACCAGGTGAGATGTCATGGCTGTGCCGTTGAAGTGGAATTGGCGACTGACTAAGTGGGACGGTAGCGCCATGGAACCCGGAAGCAACACTTCTTCCTCACACATCGGCTCCCCTGGCTTGTCGAATATCAATACCGCCGTTAGCGTCGCAGGCGCCGCAGCCCCAGCAGCCGAAACCGCTGAACGAACTGCCCCTCGAGGCGCAGGAGGCGGTGATGCTGGAGGATCTGCTATTTGTCTTCATGGGCTACGAGGGCCAGTACATCCGCTTCGTCAAGACATACAACCCCCACGAGGAAAGGGATCGTCTGTCGGGGCCAGCATTCAGGATATTGCCAGGCCTGGACCCCAGCCTGCAAGACCTGACGGTGTCCATGCTGAAGATGGCGACGTACTACTCGGCCCTCGAGATGTTTGTCGACGTACAGAGCAGGGATGAGTTTGGCGCTGTCAACCATGCGCTATGCGCTTCCATCAGGAAGTTCCTTCACGACTACCTCGTCATGATTGCGCAGCTAGAGACGCAGTTCCTGACAAACGAGACTTTTACCCTCCACGTCCTTAACATCCACACATTACCCACGTGCCAGATGATGTCGCATCTGTATTCCCTGGCCCACGATTTGCTGAAGAGGAATGCGCTTTTGGACGAGGATGATGACGAGGAAGAAAGCGACAGCGCGGACGATTTCGAGAACATCCTCGAGTCGTTGCGCGAAGGTGGCGACTTGGCGCCGGGCTCGGGAAAGAAGATTTGCAAAGGAGGGGTCGTGCTGGGTCTGATCACGAAGAGGCTGGAGTCAATGTCGGGAGACCCGGCGGCGCGCGCTCTGCTGACCACGCTGCTGCGCGATGCTAGCAAGCCGTACATGGTGATGCTCAACGAGTGGCTTCACCATGGCGGCATCAATGACCCTCACGCCGAGTTCTTGATCAAGGAGCAGAAGAGTATCCGCAGGGAGCGCCTAGAGCAGGACTACACTGACGAGTACTGGGAGCGACGATACACCATCCGGGAGCATGACATCCCTCCTCAGCTGGAAGGTGTCAAAGAGAAGGTCTTGCTGGCTGGGAAGTACCTTAACGTCGTGAGAGAGTGCGGCGGCGTGGACGTCAGCAAGGTCGTCCAGGACGTGCCCACGTCCTTTGATGACAGCCGTTTCCTCGAGAACGTCAACAGCGCCTACGCGCACGCCAACGAGTCGCTTCTGCAGCTGCTCCTGACGACACACTCGCTACCCATGAGGCTGCGGTCGATGAAGCACTACTTCTTCCTGGACCCGTCCGACTACTTTTCCTACTTCCTCGAGCTCGGCACCTCGGAGTTGCGGAAGCCCGTCAAGTCCGTTAATACCGGCAAACTACAGTCGCTGCTCGACCTGGTACTGCGACAGCCGGGCAGCATCGTCTCGCTGGATCCCTTCAAGGAGGATGTCAAGGTGGAGATGAACGAAATCACGCTGATCAAATCCCTGCAGCGGGTCGTCAACATCACGGGTATCGAGCAGGGTGAGACGTTGCAGCCCTTGGCCAATCAACCGATTGAGAACGACAGAAACGCCATTGGCTTCACGTCGCTGCAGCTCGACTATACGGTGCCTTTCCCCGTCTCCCTCGTCATCAGCCGCAAGACCGTTTGGCGCTACCAAGCGCTGTTCCGTTACCTCCTTTCGCTGCGCTATCTCGAGTCCCAGCTGTCGACGACGTGGTACTCGCAGACCTCCGGCCTGACGTGGGCGCACAAGAGCTCTTCGCGCAGCCTTGAGATCTGGAAGCGCCGCGTGTGGACGCTGCGCGCACGCATGCTAGTCTTTGTGCAGCAGCTGCTCTACTTCTGCACCGCCGAGGTCATCGAGCCCAACTGGGCAAAGTTCATGTCCAGGCTCAAGGTTGGTGAGGAGGGTCAGGAGGCCGCTTCGGGAGGTGTTTCGTCAGGTCCAACGAGGACTGTAGACGAGCTGATGCAGGACCATGTGGACTTCTTGGACACGTGCTTGAAGGAGTGCATGCTCACCAACAGCAAGCTTCTACGAGTGAGTCCATCCCGTTGACATCCTCCCCCCTCACTCGAGCGTCTCAACTAATGTCGTTGACAGATCCATTCCAAACTGATGCAAACCTGCACAATCTTCGCAACCTACTCCAACTGGCTCTCCCGCGAGCTGGAAAAGGCGGACCCGGACCTGTCTGGCGCTACGCGGCCGCCCAACATGACACCCGAGCAGTGGCGCGCCTTTCAGGCCGTCAGGACGCAGAAGCCCACGACGGGCTCGCACAGCGATTCGACGTCGTCGGCGGGGCCGGGCGCGAGCGACCAGCAGCAGCAGGACGCGCGCGTGGGGAACCTGTTCGAGATCATGAAGAAGTGGGAGAGCAACTTCAGCAGGCACCTGCAGATCCTGCTCGACGCGCTGAACCACTACGCTGCGACCGAGACGGTCGTCCTGCTCAGCCTGTGCGCGCGGCTCAGCACGGCGAACCAGGGAACCGAGTACTCCGGGCTGCGGAACGAGGACGACAGCGTCGCTTGAAGCCTGGCGTCGGAGCCGGGAGGTTCCTCTTTTCATTCTCCGCCTCTCTGTCTCTCTCTTCCTCGCATAATTCAAAGAAAAGGTCTACGGCGTTTGAAAGGTCTGGGTTCTAGGAAGCTGGGGAGCGGGGCGGATGGCATTTCGCATTATCAAAAGCCTAAGCGAGAAGAGCACATTGAGGGCGAGAGGGGGGAGGAGGACGAGAGGGGGGAGGAGGAGGAGGAGGGGGAGGGAGGGAAGAGATGTGAGGGAGTTGCCTGGCATGCTCTCTACCTAGACATATACCATTGAGTCAAGCATGCGCTTCAGCACGCCAAGTTCAACATTTCCAGCCATTCATGAACCGGTTCGTGTTGTGGTAACCCAGGCCCCAAACGGGGTAATGATACTCCTTTCGATTTCGTCTCGCACCAGAGGACGCGAGGGGTTCCTCATGCAAAGTGCTCTCCCGCCGAGCTTTCGTTTTTGTAGTGTACAGATATTAGACAGGTCGTGGTGGTACATATACAAATTGATACAGCGGCCGACTCTTGCGGCCCCTACCTCCATCCCCACTCATTCCTTCTTAAGGGCCTCCTTGACCAGGTCGGCGACACGCTTCCTGTCGATCTCGAGATCCTTGCCCTGGATGGCGACGTTGATGAGCTTCATGACCTCGCCCAGGCCGTTCTTTCCCGCGGCGGCGGCGTCCCCGATGGCCTTCTGGATGAGCACGCGGACGTCGGCCTCGGTGACGGTGACGACGCCACTGGTGGCGATGTACTCGGCCATGACCTTGGCCTGGAGGTCCTCCTTGTCGGCGAGGTCGTCGCGACCGGCGGCGCGGAACTGGGCGGCGGCCTCCTGAGTGGCACGCTGGGTTTTGCGCAGGAGGGCGACGAGCTGGGCGTCAGTGGCGATTGGGGCGTTGGTCTTGGCCGCGTTGTTGGTGGCGGAGAGAACGGAGCGGAGGACGGAGAGGCGGGGCGCGTCCTTTGCGCGCATGGCCGTCTTCAGGTCGGTCTTGAGCGTGGCCAGAAGCCGGGGCTGGGCCGGGGCGGCGTCGGAGGAGTAGAGGCGGAGCGCCCGGAGGGGCGTGGCGGCCGCGCGGCTGAGCACAGTCGGCCGGAGGAGCGTCTGGAGACGGACTAAGCTTCGGGAGGCCATTGTGGTTGATGGAAGAGGAGAGTGTGTTTTTATGATATTTGCAAGTCTGTCGGCCGAACTGTTTCGCTGCGTATTTCTCGGTTGATTGTCTTGTTCCGTCGTTAGGGGCGCTAGGTCTGTACAATGTCGTCAAGTCGTCGTCGTCTGATGCTGCCAATGGATTCGGATAGGAAAAAGTTGGACTAGAGAAGCCGTCATTAGGTGGAACCGTAAAGAGAGCTTCTCATTGGCTAACTGCACCTGAGCTATTCCAGGCGCGCATGGTGGCACCGGTACCATGGGCGGAAGCTTGCGGGGCCCAAGGGTCTTCTCACATTATTGGTCCGTCTCAACTCAGAGGCTTATTTTTCTTGTGTCTAGGGAGCCACTATGTGATGAACGGCTGACGGCGGGTGGTTCATCCCCGGGTTCGTTTGTTGGACGATGGCTTGATATACAAGGTACCTACCTAACGTACCTAGTGTGATGTCTCAAATAATGCGTTCAGCCATGGGTCGGGGCAACCGCAGCGGCCTCAGGAAGTCTCCAAAGCCGGGGAACCTGGCTTGTGAGTCGTGCGCGTGCGCGAGCGAATGTGAATGGGTCCTTCACCGGCGAGAGACCGGGTGTGGTGTCGAGGTGGAAACTTGCGAGTATGGCGATTGTAAATGCTGGAAACGTGACATGGCGTGGCACAGAACATATCGCCCTTCAGGTAAGGGTGGGTTTCGGTAGATGTCACGACTCATGGGTTTGAGATGCCCAGACGCGATGCTGTTTTGTGCGTGTTATTGCCTACCTACCTACTTCTAGGTGAGTCTATAGTTAAGGCGACCATTGTGGGTTACCTCCCTACCGTATGGCCTACATGGTGTGACGTCTGTTGTTCACCTGCAGCCCGGTCTTCACCGAGGACCCGGGGAGACGGTAGCGAGCTGGGGAAACTATGCGGACCTGCCCATGTATGTAACGCGTTCCAAGGCAGTCACAGCGCCTTGAGCCACTCCAATCTAAACCCAACAAGGTACAGGAGGAAGATAGGCCAATCACCCGAGCCCTCCTTCCCTCCCTGCTCTTTCGAGGCGCGAGTCTCGACCCTTTATGCCTTGCTGTTAATTAGCCATCGTTGTCTCTTACCACTACCCAAGTACTTTAGCTTCCGCCGATCCCCACTTGCGGCTTAGGCTTATTCTCTTTCAACTTCTTGCCGTCCTCTTTCCCTTTCGATGCATTCCCATGTAGTCCTTGTTGCCTTCCACAACCCCCCGTCGAAAACCCCCATCCATTCTCGCCTTTTGCTATGAGGATTCTTGACAGCCAGCGTGATTCTCGCAACCCGGTTCAAGACAGCCGTTGCTCGCAGGTTTCCGTCTCCTCCTCCAGCCCGCCGTCTCCTCTCTATGGGGAGCTCAAGCGCTCATCGACCGTTCAAATATCATAGGGCTAGTCGCACCGACCAACAACCACGAATAGACCCGCACGCCGTTAGTCAGTCCCCAAGAGACTCGTCTCGTCGGTCCTTGAGCCTCAATAAAGGTTCTTGGCCATCGAGGCTTGAGACTTCGCTGTCTCTTGCCGGAGGCCTCTTTCTCGGCTCACATCTGTGCCCATCTACCAACATCATATCAGGCCGATGAGCATTCTGAAGTACAACCAGCAAGGGAAAAAGCCAACGGAATTGCGAGCTAGGCATGGGTATCTACTGCCGTCACATCATCGTCGTTGTCGTCATAATTCTGTTCCAGAAAGCCCACCAAGTCTTCAAACCCGAACGCCCCGCAATGCTCGGTCAAACAAGCAACCCTGCCATACAATGCCCCGACATGCCTCACCGGCGAGGTTTTCGTCCTATACAAACATACCTCCAGCGCGAAATTACATGAGTATATATGTATCTCCAAGCAGCAACATCGAGTAGGCGCTCACTTACATTGGGAAATATGCCTGGTTCAGCTCGTCAGCATTCGCCTTCATGCCAGTTATCGGGGTGTGACGCCTAGTACGATTGAGGTCGGCAGCTGTACTCACCCTGAATGCCGGGTTGTCGGCTTCACTCCTGGCTTGGGCCACCAGGACCTGGAACTCTTGCGAGGTCATTCTACCGTGATACGGTCAGCTCCAAACACGCCCACATGACGAGTCCTTATCACGTCGTCCACGGAATAAGATGGGGTCGCCGAGCTCACCCTTTGAACTCTGTCATGGGGTACATGGCCAGGGAGGCGAGCATCCTCCTGACATTCTCCCGGTTGACCACGCCGATTTGGTGCTGCCTCGGATCTAGATCACCAATAAGCTTCAAGGGCTTGTACATCTGCTTCTACAGGCTCCTCACCATTCGACCAGCCACATGTTGGGAGAGGAATCATTTGGGTTTCCACCGAGTCAAACCCTGCGCTCTGCATCCAATTCTGCATCTGGAGCGGCGCTCGTGGATCTTTGTAAGGTTGCATACTGTCCAGGTATCGTCTCGACCACCTGCGCAAGGCGTGATCTAAAGCCGGGAACAATCAATAAATGCAGCTTCTCCGGGGGGTGTTTAGCCGCCTTACTCTGAGTCAACGTCCCGTTGTCCGACTGCGCGTTGAAATATATCTCCACCATCTGGCACCATCCACCCGGTCGAAGTACCCGAAACGTATCGCGGATATAGTCTCTCCATCGGTTAGAATGAATACCGCCTGCCATCATTTGGCTATGAACGAGATCGAAATGATTGGATGGAAAGGTAAATCTGGCGCCAGTCCGGTTAGACACAGCCTGGGTGGATCTGCGAGCAACAGCTCGTCGATGCTTGCCTACCTTCCGTTCAAGTCGTCAACCTGAAGATTCAAGTTCGTGGGTGTTTGGGTCTCGTCTGGCCAGATGTGCGGGCAAATGTCAATAGCCACCACCTGTCCTCCGAAGTTAGCATTATATGCGCGACCCGACCGATATCGATGCAAAGATTCTATGGTTCTATGCTTTTCAACCATTGAGTAGTATCTCCTTGTCGATTACAATGAAGAGCAGGAAGAATCCAACGTGAGTAGACGAAGGCTAGGGACCGACCGTCCGTTGGAAAACTCGGCAAAACGCAGTGGCCTTTTGGCGTTCCGCCTAAACCAAACTCTACATAGGCACGCTGGTCACCGAGTTACGGACAGAGGCACAAAAAGAAGAAGAAGAAGAAAACAGGAAAACAATTGGATACGCGCAAAACACACCTCGCAGCTTGGGTGTTGCTGTGCGACTTCGAGAGCCCAGTCGCCGGCTCCGAACCCACACTCGAGTATTCGTCGGGGTCTGGTGATCGGCGGGAAAAGGAGTTGGTTTTCGAACACTATTGAGAGGACGGCATGCATGATTTGCAAGCGCTCGACTTCGTCCTACAACCCGTTCAGATACGTTAAACAAAGCAGGGAAGCTTCCCTGAACTCGGTGCCTCCTTTACCTCGTCTATCGGTGCAAAATAAGCCCCATTGTCAACTGCGTATCGCTGATATTCTCTGCCTTGATGCATGACAGTTTCAAGGAACGCGTTGTCCAAAGGGACTGTTTGTGGATCACTGAGAACAGCCCAGACGTCAAACGAACCCTTCATGTGCGAGTCTTAGGGATGGTCAACCGTACCTTGCCATATCGACAAAGACAGCAACAGCGGTAGGATACTTGCTCTTCGCACTGATTGATCTCAAGAATATTGAGAAGTTTCGTCCAAAACCTGCCTCTGGATCCGACCTATGGGGTTGTGTCTCGTAGCTGCTTTGCTCCAACAAGGTCTGCTGCAATTGCAGGAGCAGGAGGGAAGGCGAGGAAAGAGTGCCTCTCAAGTACTGCCCACGCAATAAGTACGATTGTTCGTCAACAGAGCCATAATGGGTTTACAGGGGCAGTCGCGAAGGCGGCAGTCGTGTCTAATAGACATAAAATTAACTGCCCGCCGCGTTGGAGGTGGAGACTCCGAGAAGGTCAAGGGGACTTCAGATTGGCCTGCCATTCTTTACTACACCCCACGACGTCGCTGTCGATCTTTGGTTAGGACCCAGAGGAACCGGTGCCTGTTTCGGTACTCCATGGTACGCGGCGCGGACGAGGCAGTCCTCAGGTGACATAGATATGCCCTCTACTGTTCCTGCTGGACCCGGTACACCCCCCTGTGCGAGAAGAGGACCAGCAAACAACCAAGACGTGCTAATCCTAAGACAGGGAGTGAGTGGCATAGTGCGGGTGTACTAGCGGGTCCCTACCCATCCTGGCAGGCGGGACACCGCTCTTACCGGTTGCCCGATCCTTGGATCCTGTCAACTATAGCTGGTCTTTCTTTGTACACTGTTCCGAAAGCCAGGTAGACGGTTGTCGTTCTCATCGACCTGACCATCTTCTTGCGGGACTTGGCATCAGAGACCGACACCCCACATGGCCATCAAAGACCACAGATGGCAGCATGGTGTATCTCATGCTATTGGTATTGGGGATGAGCTTCTCGACGGACTCCGCTACAACAATCGAATCGCATCAATACACCGCTGCCTAATGCTCCTAGAAGAGCTTCCACACTCACGGCAAAGCCAGCAATGGACTGGTGCCTTTCAGACCAACCGCACGGTTGTCGGAGTACAAGGCCTAGCGCATTCTCATACACACAGATGTAGCCCGGCTGCAACCCTCTGGTGTCCAGGCAATGAGAAGCTCTTCAGCGAACACGGCCGTCCATCCCTTGTTTTCTGCTTACCCCCCCTCCATGTTGTGGGTGGGAACATCGCTTGAAGGAGGGGTTACATGGGCGATCCGCACTTGTCTCACGCGGAGCCATAACCGAATTCCGACGAGTTCCATGTCCCAAGGATCCGGTCGTTGGCTTGAGCTTGGAGCAATCATCCGGGAAGGAAAGTAAGCCTGAGCTAGAGGGCTGTTGCATAGGCTCCGACAAGTCTCCAGATGACAGGCGCCTCTCTTCGCGATAGCCTAGTGCCTGTACTTAGTGAGCACACCCAAGAACATGGACTTGGGGTTGCCGCTGACTTGGCTCTGAATGTAAAAGGGGGGGAGGGGATGCTGGCCCACAAAGCGCGAAACAATCACAACTTGGACGCCGCCCAGCGGCCTCGTACGACAAGCATGCTGGTTAACCCTATGCTGCTTGACATGTCTGGTATTGAGTAGGCCCGGGCCATATATGCGGCCAACGATGACCGGAGGCGGAGTCAATGCTCTGATGCTCGCACACAACTTGACAAAGACCTGCAGTCCTGACGGCGCGGTGAGACCGGCACCAGGCCCAGATCTCACGACGGTACGGGTAGCCAGAGGGAGAAATATAGCCTGAGCGGGAACATGGATTTTTACTTTGCTAAGCACCCACGCCTGCGGTCTGTAACTTTCGGCCACCAACACACCATCCCAGAGACGCTGTTAGGGGGCAGCAATTTGGTCGGATGGCGGCACAATATGCACAGAACAGGCAAGGCCCGCAAAATATAGGTAGGTTGCATAGCTCTGGCTGGTATTAGGCTTGGGTTGCTGCGTCTTGACACGTCGGCGTATTCGGGTGCGTGCTGATGAAGTTTTAATTACCTCAATCCTTGCGACTCCCGGGGTTTTGCCCCTCCTCGTGCTTGCCTACTCGACAGACCGGCTGCAGCTTTTTGCTAGCTAAACTCCGAGAAAGTCAGCCAAGCAGGGTTCTCGAGCTGAAATGGTTTTGATAAGAGTTGGAAGAAGACATAGGCGCTGGCCCATTTCTACAACGAACCCTCGACTGGCCATTTTGCAACCAAGTACTGACATGACAGGGAGATGACCTGGCTGGCTCGATCGGGCTGCTCCTGGCTCGGACGGTGGGGTTTCGGGAGAGGGCGCGATGACGCGAGCCACAAAAATCTCCTGGTTCCAGCTATTTGGGAACCGAGGGGCGAGGGGCGAGGGTCGACAGCGTTTCCTTGTCTCTGAAAACCGCACCCTGGTGCTTGGGAGCGTCACGCCTGTCCACGGCCGCCACGTACTCGCTGCAGCCTGCAACCATGTACCAACGGGTTCAGATGCATTGCATGGCGGACGGGTAGAAAAAGCGACGGAAGACACCATGAGACGACGGCATGCCGCTTCGGCCTGGCAACCAAACGCCTGGCCCGGGATGTCATGACCCTCCCCCCACCCTAACCATCCCTCGACGTCAGAGCAAGGGACACACAAGAGGGGATTGGCCGGCATCTTGTTTACGCACAACTTTGCTAAGCCAGCCACAGTCTCACCAAAAGCCGCAGGAGTATATCGGCTGGGCAGCTCGCAGTGGTCAGCCGAAATTACGGGCTGTCCGGAGGTTATCCCAATGGCGGGTAGGGGGCCCGGGAATATCTCTCTATCTTTAATTACCACAGGTCAGGTGGCCCGAAAAGCGACTGCTCAGGCATGACGGCGGTATAATGCTGCGTAACAGGCAGCTGGGAAAAGGTGTACCGTATACACTGGTTAATTACGACCACCTCCACTCTCGAGGCTAAGGGTAAGGGGTATTGCGGCTTCTGCTCACGCTAAGCCCCTTTTTGAAGGCGGTCAACCGGCCCACTTACCCAGCCAGCCAGGCTTCCACCCAAACTTCCTGCTGACGTATGCGACACGTGGCTAGTCCCTACTTTTGCCAGTATCTAATCTCTGTTTCTGCCAGCACGCTAGTCTATCCTCAGCGGCCGCTATACCCTCTATCGTTAGACACAAAAGTGGGGGTGGTCGTATTTAACCAGTGTATACGGTACATGATTTGCCCAGCGCCGTGGCCACGAGCCAAGCAGCCTCGGAATAGAGGCTCGGAACAGAAGTCGTGATTCATATCTCGGGGTATCTATAACGAAGTCTTGCCCCTACGCACGATGACCGAAGACCTAATAGACTCGTAACATATCTTGGAGGCGTCGGCGCAACAACATGCTCCGCGCCAGGGAGCGAGGCAAGAAATTAGCCTGTTGGAGATGATGCACGTCAGAGGGGGGTCATCCAACCCATCTTTCCTTAACGTGATGCCATGTGTAATGGATCCCGACGACTCAACTTGGGTAAGCTCGAACAGGATGGCGCCTCCAATGACAAGCTCAGCTTCGCAACTTACGGCCGTTGAACCCATTATCGTCTGCACGGGTGCGGGCCACGCATCTGCGGATAACCCACAGTATTTTCTTTTACCCGATATGAGAGGAAAATTGAGCGAGCTCCTCTTTTTTTCAATGGGATTTCCTTCAACCCTTGCAAGGAAGGGGAGGGGATGAGGGGGGGTTACCTATGTTGGAGGCCGATGAGGAGTCGCATTCAGCTCCGCCAGCAGGGAACCCCGGTCGGCAGGTTCACCTTCCTCTTAAGCAGAACCGCGTTCTCGGGTTCCGTTCCCCTAGGATGGGGCACGATAGTGTCCTTTATCGTTGCCAACCGTTCCCTTTACAATCCCAGTACATATTGACGGAAGACGGCATGTCATAACAATGATACTGCAATGCCGAACATACTCACTCTACGAAGCACCCCTCCCTCCCCCTTATTTGCTGGGTGACGAGCGGCGGCATGGTCTGTCGTCTGCAATGTGACCAGCCCACTAGCTCTCAATACTAGGGTTGATCCGTTTCGCCGGGGGCATGCCCCGGAGAATAATGCTTCTAGAAGGCTAACTATACTCTTCCCGAGGGGTTTGTCATCTGAAAAGGCATGGAGCGCGTTGCCGGGTGGGAGGGAGGGGGGTGGCTTCGTACCGACGAGTCCCTACCCAGACGGGTTGGTGCGCACTGCTATTTGGGTGTATTGCAGACAGACGTCCGCCCCCTTCCTATAACTACTATCTTGGGTGCACATGTCGCGGTCACAATTTCACCGGACTCAGCTATCGCCCCCCCTCCCCCGCCTGACGCGCCACGACCATGTTCCCTTTTCCGTGCAACGTGAGCCCGGAATCCTGGTTGGCGGCCGCTTGGGTCGACAAAACCTGGGACGAAGCTGAGCCCTCCCGACGGCGACCGCAACTATCAAGAACATCCAACTTGCGCCGTGTGACCTGAGCAGTCACTTTTCTCAGCCCCCCTCTCCTCTCCTCTCCTCTCCTCCTTTTCTCACGACATGCTCGGAAAGGGCCAACCCGGGTTATTTTTACATCACACCTTTTTTTTCGTTTTGTGTGGCTCTGCTGGAAAGTCTCTCGGGGGTCTCTTGGGCTAGCTAGCATTGGTTGCTTTTGTACATACTGTTTCTGTGTGAGGAACTACGGATGGATGCTGGGATTCGCTGCGTGCTACCTTACCCCCCTGGAACCAGATTGAGATGCGAGCGGCAAAAAGGGTGAAGTGAGGAAATTCCTTCCCTGGTTTGAAAAGAGGAAAAAAAAAAAGGAAAAAGGAGGGGGGAGGGACTCTTTTCTCAGGTTCGCCGAAAATGGCACTCTGCATGCGTTTCCCCCAATGTCCCCGGAAAGAAAAGAAGAGGAAGAAGAAGAAGAAGAAGCAAATAAGGAAGAAAAAACCAGATGACTGTGGTACGCCCTCGCCCTCGCCTTTCCCCTCCCTTCCGAAGAAACCCCCCTTTCCTCCCCTATCTTTTGTCTTTTTTTTCTTCTTCCTTCATCATGGGTCTTCGTCCGCCCCTCCCCGTCCCCGTCCGCGCGCGTCTGCGCGTGCGCGCGGATCTGCGCCTCTCGGACCCGCAACGTCTCTCTCTCTCCCCTTTTGTGCCTTGCTCGTCATGTTTTTGACATAGATATCGTGTCGTGTCTTTTCCTCAGACACTCGTCGTCTCTGTCTGGTACCGGATCCCCTCTTTCTCTCCCTATCATGTTGCCAAGCCAGTAGAGCGGTGACAAGGTATGCCATCCCACGGCCCGGGAAACGCCACCAACACCTACGCCATGATGCCTTGTTCGTCCTGGCGCGCAGCAAGCCGACCGTTCCAGTGTAGATGAGATGTGATGAATACCCAATACAACTCCCTCCTTCCATATTCATGCGGCGTATTGTCGGCCGACAACGGGGACCAAAATATAGAGGGGCAAAGAGGGGGGGGAGGGCACCATGCATGCGCACACACACACACACACACACACACACACACACACACAAACACCTCACTCCCCTTTCCTTCCCTTGCATGCGGAGCGAGCGGAACGAAAACCCTCCAGCCGATAATCTAGCTACCCAAATCATTTTGAGCCCCGTGCCGCCCCGCATGTTTTGCTCGGTGCAGGCCAAGTGGATCACCAGCAGGTGAAAACCGGGTTCCTGGCTTTCACCGGCTCCAGCCTCTCCACAATAACCTTGCGTTGGTTCCCCTCCATCCCCTCGGCAGCCGCATAGCCCAGGTCGCCCTCCTCAAAGTCGTCCTCGTCGTACTCCAGGCCCGGGTGGGACCCGTGCAGGTGTTGAGCAATGCTGTTGCTGCTGCGCCGCCCAGCGGCCGTCGCGAACGAATAGCGACGTTGCTGCTGAGCCTGTTGACGGGCGGGGTGGTACATGTTCAGAGCGCGTGACCCGTGATAGCTTTCCCGGTGGCTTTGCCCCGAGAACCTAGGCCGTTGCGCCGTTGAATCCTTAGACAACGGTACCGACGATGCCAGGATGCCCGAACCGTTCATGGACGTCTCGTCCGGTGACTGGGCTCCCTCATCCGTCGGGCTCAACGCCAGCTCAAACCTGCCCGGGTGAGGCATATCGGCTGGGGGGCTGGCAAGGCCAAGCAGGTCCCCGTCGGTGGACGCGTTGACATTGCCTATGTCGCCCTCGTCGATGGATCCGCGTAATTCTGCTTCGTGACGCATCATCTCGGCGGATGTCACCCGCATGGGAACTGCGACCGGTACATCGACGAGGTCGTCCCAGACGCAGACCTTGGCACGACGTGTGAGTTCCAGCGGGCCATGGTCCGGTGTCTTGAGCGTCTCCACGACGTTCCACGCCTGGCCCTTCATGACGGCGATCTGCCGAGCAAACATTTTTTCCTGGAAATCGGGGTCCAACTGGAAGACTTTCCGTAACGCCAACTGCGTCTGGCTCCACCAATGCGTCGAGGTCAGGAGAGGCAGAAAATGATCCCGTGTCTTTTGCGAGAACGGCCGTCCGATCAAGTCAACAGGCAGAAACAGCCACCCGAAGGGAAAGCTATGTGTGAGAGGACGATTAGCTCAGTTGTCCGTACGAACCCGTGCTCGCGCTCATCAAGCTGAAGGGCAATGGGAGGTCGTGGATCGTTCATACCTTCGCCACGCATCTGGGTGTTTCCAGGGCCAAGAGAGTGAGTTATCAATGGCACCGATTGTGATCTTAGGGTCCTGCGTGCTCGGCATTGGGCTCGAAGCCCTCATAGGCTGCTGGGTTCTGTAGGGATACGAGGAGCGGCTTTCTGCTGCTGGTCGCTGGCTTAAGTCCACGGGCCGTGGCCCGTCCTCTTCGGACGGACCTGTCTCCGTGTTCATCTGGAGCGGCTCTGACACGATGGATACTTGCTGGGTGCTCCAGTCCACCTTGATCATCCAGTTGTCGAGGCCACGATCCGTGTTGCGCATGATATAGTCCAGGATAACCAGCTTTTCCAGCTCTTCGCGGAACGACTGCTTCAGCGAATCGGTCCACACGAAGTTGTCTGGGCCGGGAGGTAACCTTCCTTGTCTGGTTTCGTCGTCGCTCTCAATGTCATCCAGTGCAGCGGCGCTGCTAGGCCGGCAGTTATCTGCCCATCTCCTCCTACGTTTGCGGTGCGGGTCGTTGGTTCTGAACCCAGACCAATACTGGTCCGGCCAAGGGTGTTCTCTCAGAAATACATTAGCATCCTTGAAACCCTTGAGGAAAACCTGAAAACTTCCGGGCTTCTCGGGGAGTGGTTTCTGCTTTCTATAGAAGTTGTGGCGGTCCCAAAACGGGTAGTGAAATGATTTGGAGGACAGCCACACAACATCCGTGTAAGGTACCATGTGAGTGCGAAGTTGGCAATCCAGCGTGTATGCAGCCGCCTCGCTGACATATGAGAGGTTGGGAATGAGGCTACGGGCACGGTCAGCGAGTGGGACACTACGGATCACCAGCGTTCGGGTCAACTTACCATGCTCGTCCGAAGCAGCAGGGGAACAGGTTTCGGTGAATCCACTTGTTCCACTTGGGATTGCCAGCGGCATACGGCTCTTCGTCCTTGGGCTTGAACACGCCAACTACCTTTCCTTCTGTGTTCCGAGCAAAATAGCTGCCGGAGCTTCCTTGGGCAATCATGCGCGGGTGTGTGCCTTGCAGGATGGCCTGCCTGACGCTCTGCAGAATCTCTTCAAACTGAGACTTGGTCATGACATTTTGTACCTCAGCCAAGCCTTCAGGGGTGATGGGCCGAACGCCCTCTGGTGCTTGGAACACCGAATGGTGGATCTCGAGATGTTCGTCTTCTCCGGTCTTGCCACGGCCCTTGGTGCGCTTGAACCGGCTAGCGATCTCGTCTGCCCATCGCTCTAGCCTGGCATTGATGGCCTTGATATCTACGCCGGAGTTGCTGCCGCCACGACGGCGGTTCGTAGGTCTAGAAGGTCCGGTGCTTATGGCCTTCGGGGTCGTCATGCCCGAGCGGGGGCGCGGTTGGGTGATGGGTGCGAAGCGAGGGGCGGAGGCCGGCTGTAGAGAGGCGTATGACTGGGCGAGGGGGTTCTCGTCTTCGGAGTCGGAGGAGAGGGCATCGGCCTGAGCGAGACGCTCATAGCCCGTCGTTGGGGGTCGGGAGCGAGGCATTGTAGCCGGATGAAGGGAGCAAGGTCTCGGGAATGAGAAAGAGAGGTAATTATCGGGCGAAGGAAGGCCTGTAGATCAGAGCCATGAGTGTAACAATCGTCGCGGTTTGGGTAAGGGTTGAGATCGAGAAGCTATGAAAGCGGATGTATGTACTGCGCTTCCGTCGTGATGCGATAGCCAACCGAAAGAAGGTAATGTGGATGCCTGACCTGATGAGCTGGGTAGTCAAGAAGTCTGTAGGAGGAATGGGGATTCAAGGGAGCGACAATGGGAATAAAAAGAAGAAAAGATTAATGTTACAAACAAAAATAGCAAGTAGCTCGAAAGTGACAGCAGACAACAGGTCGCGAGGAATCAAAGACGGGGTGGAGTAACACGGCGACAGAAAGTGGTTGTGGTTGTGGACAGGAGGCGATTTCTCAGCGAGTCGCGTCGTCATCTATGTGTCGTTAGCAATCCGTGGTTTCGGAGGACCACGATGCTGTCATTGGGGTGCATGCGAGCGTGCTATCCTGGTTCGCTTTCCGGTACCTTGCTCAGAACACATGTAACCAATGGCAATCTGGGTGCCTGCACGTCAGCAGGAGGTAGACTCTACTGGTGTTCCTAAAGCGTGGACCGGACGCCGCGTTTACCCGACTGACTAAAGCAAGCAAGGTAGGTACCTACCTTCCGTGCCGCGTTTGCTCGCTGTGACTGGATACACACTCGTCGATGATAAACGATAAGGAGAGTTGATAAGGCAGTTAGTTCTACTGTCAACTAACCACAACCAGCATGCTTTAAGTTGGACCCAAACCATCACCACGTCCGTATATGTCTTTGGTGGTCCTGGGCCTGGCAACTGCGGGATGGAACATGAGAACGGCGGCGGTATCACCGTCTGTCTGTCTGTTGCGAAGTGGGATATCGATGGCAGCTTCAAACGTCAGCCAACCTCAGACATCAATCCGCCGGTTAGCCACAAGATCCCAATATGATGCTCATCACCGAGGCGTTACCATGTTTGGTGGGGCATAATATGTGTCGAAGCAACAAGGCTACCGGCATAGCCAGATATTTGTACCATCTAGAGACATTCCTAAAACGGCATCATGGCATCGCGAGCAACACAAATCCCTATACCCAACGCTAGTCTTCTTTCCCTCAATCGAATGAGATGTCACAGCTGTCACCCCAGAAAGCCCCCAAACCCCCGGGTCGCAGCCATAAGGCCCACCCACACCGCACGAGTCGTTCCAGAGTCTCTCCCGCCGGCGAATTAATACGATTCATCAGTCGATAATATGCCTTTTACCTGATGGTCTATGCGAAGGTTTCATTATTATGATGCTGGCCAATCCACTGTCAGGCTTCCGCTACGGCCTGAGGGCGTTTGTGACAATGTCCCCATCTCAGGAACGGTCGTGTGGCACCCTTGCTCCGTCATGATCGTTTCGTTTGCGGTCTGGGCGACTCGGCGGGCCACTAGCTCGGATGATCTTCCCAGCTCAAGCCTCGATCCCGATCAACTTGATTCTATGCCGCGCCCACCAATCCCTTTCTGCGGCCTCGTGCTCCGTTTTCCGTCTTCGCCCTGGGCTGTTGTGTTGAAATCCTTTATCATCTCTCTCCGCCCGTTCCACATTTCGGGGCCTCTCTCCTGCTCGCATAGCACTTACTAGCCTGCCAATGAGCGTATTATCAATCAAGAGCTGCACATCTTCGCCTCGCCCATATTTTGACTTTGTTGCCTGCGTGCCAACTCAGACCATGGCCGCCCAGTATGAGACCGTCGTCAAGTTCCGAGAGGTGACGCCACGAACCTTTTCACCCGACCCAGACACGCACCGGGGCCGCAGGAGAGAACGTAGCCTCACGAGGTGTGACCTAGAGGCCACTCACTATGGCGGCACCGGCGAGTCCAGCACGCTACGGGGCCGACCCCGCCGACGATCGACCTCGCCGGTGGCACTATCATCGAGAGCTTCTTCACGAGCCATTCCGAGCAACTCCGTGTCCCCTACGAGGAAGCTTCTTCTTCGCATCGTTCTTCTCGATCGGCGACGGGGCCAGAGCCCCTCCCGGTCCCGGTCTCCCAACCACCAGCAAGCCCCACGCCGGCGCCGCCATCGAACGCGGAGCCGAAGCCGGACCCATACCAAGGAGGTGTATCAGGCCAAGGACCAGCTGTCTCGGCCCACCCAAGAGCCACTATACAAGAAGGGGGGCAAATCTGCCCAAGACTGATGGAATGTGTGAGGGTGGTTAGACGCGTGAGCAAAGTACCGGAAATTTGAAGAATAGAAAAGAAGAAAAAAAAACACGAACAACGGCAACGGTTGAAAACGCTGTTCGCATGGCATGATGCGGTGCGCACAACAATGCAGGAAATATCAACATCCTGTCACTAGTTCAAAGGATCCAGGGCCATAATCGCGCCTACAAGAGACGGTCGTGTCTCGACTAGCTCAGATCAACACAAGATGGGCATCGAGACATCCGGGGTCACGGTGTGATTGATCTGGTTGGGGTAGGGTGAATGGGTGGTGGTGGGGGGCGTACTAAATTGGCTTATCGTCGAGATGGTGGGCAAGACTTGGAATCGTCGGACAGAACACGAAGCCCAGGGTAGACCGGCCCGTGGATTCGGGCTCAACCAGGCGAGGAGGCCTGCGAGGTATCTCCATCAAGAGCGGCATGTGCATTCATTCCTACTCGACGGGACATTGGTAAAGGGGGGTTGATGATGGATACGAGCATTGTCCAACAGGTCAAAAGCAGCAGATTCGGGTTACACTAAGCTGGATTTCGGAGGCAGGATATGACTGGTTTGGAAAGAAACCACAAAAGACTCAATGATACAAGTGATGAGAAAAAATTGCTTGGTCAAGTGATCACACATCCTTTCACAGGCTGCCTTTTTCGAGCCAACTCTCTGAGCCAGCTACACCCAGTTGATGGTGTAAGAAAGCGTGGTTTGGTCTGGGCCGAGATAGGCAGGAGTGGGGCGCAAGGGCCAGGCTCGGTTTGAAAAGGGTGGCCACGTGAGGGTGCGAACTTTCCAGGTAGCTAATCGGAAATCGGGAATCAATGGGTCTCCACTGAAGATGCCCCGCTGCAAGAGGCGGAGGAGTGACCTCAGCTGCAAGAAGGCTGCAGCCAACGATGCACCGCATTCCATGTGCCGCGCCTACCTCTTTTGCATTTCCCTCCTTCCCACGCCACTGACAGACAGACCTCACTAACTACCTACCTAATCGGTCTTTTGCCATACGGTGGTCTGGTCTGCGCTTGCCTCTTGTTGCTTTCTTCTTTTGCCCGACGCTGGAATTGCAACAAACTTCTTCTACACCACCTTATCTCCTCACCTACATCCCCTCCGAGGCAAGGACAATGAATGACATGGGACACGCCGTACTTTGAACCGGCGTCGGCTTGACTCGATCTTGGACCTTGTTCTCCCCTCCAACTTCGAGCGCCATCCAAATTGTTCCGCTTGTGCTTGTGGACTCCGGACCTGGATACTCGACCTGGCTCGACTCGACTCGACGACCTCACTGTTCACTATTCACTACCGGCCTGTCACTCACCTTCGCCTGCCACATCTGAGAAGAGCCTTATGCTTTCCTCCCATTCCACCACCAGCCTCAGCTCGCAACTCTCGATATTTGCCGTCTAGCAACACTTTCACACTGCCTCTGGCCCAGTGACTGCCTCTGAACTACGTCGCTTCCACCACATCTTGTCCCTATCTGCGGGTAAATACCCACCACCACCTTGTTCATTGCGACGCGGATATCCAACATTTAATTAGCATTTGTGATGATCGCAACCACCTCTCTCGCATCAGCCGCTTATCTGAAGCCCACCACTCCGCGTGCGACTTGCGGCGCTCTCTGAAGAAGGAACGTGCCGGCGAGCTGGCAGAAAGACGCAACCATGGCGTCGCCAAACGGCTCAAATGGTAAGTACCCGCCACCCCCTCCTTGGCCCGCAGCAGTACAGTACAGTAGGGCCCTTTGCCCCTCCAGCTGGAAACAGCTCGACTGCTCCTACACTTTGCGCTTCTCCGACCATGAAGCCTCTTACAACCCAGAATTCCCGGGGAGATTTACTCATTGTTTTCCTCCTACAGGCCGAGCGGACTACGCGATGAACCCTCAGCCACAGTCGTGGAATCCTCAAGCATTGCTCAACCCCCGTGCCTACGCATCCTCTACTCCTGCCTCGAAGCGAAACTCCCCTAAACCTCAGTCTCTAGCGACTCGATCCGCGCCAGCGAACCAAAGCGCCAATAGCGGCGCCTTCGTATTTCAATTTGCGAGTCCGAATGACACCCCGAGCGAATCGTTGACACCGGGCATGACTTCAGGCGCATCGACCCCCGGTCATGACGGACGCGTGTCGCCTTATGGGATGGGCAGCATGATTGAACGAATGAAGGATGTACAGGAGCGCGCTTCTGCGCCTCAGCCCAAGCGCAGAAAGTACGACACCCCTGAATCCGATGCTGACAACAAAAAGACGATGGGGCCTGGCGGCAGCGGAATGCTGGGCGCCTATGTTAAGGAAAAGCAGGATGCAGGCAAAAAGGAGAACGCAAAAGTATCCACGAACACGGTGGATCTCACTGAGGGCGACGATGATGTGGTCATGGTTCAAGACCCCGCAGCCGAGGAGGTCTGCTACGGCATGCTTACTGCCAAACTCGATTGCCACAAGGTGCCCTCTCCAAAGCCAGGAACGCAAAGTATATTTGGACCGGATTTCATGCCGCCAGTCAAGATCGTCTTGAAGCGAATTATCGGAGACTCGACGAAGAAGATTCAAGCCTACGATTACACGCGCGATATCATTGGAAACATCGACGCACACACTGCCGGAGCCCTTGTTCCCTTGCTGGACTCCAACGTGCGCCTCAGAACCGACTGCAAGATCCCCACGCACAGGAAGCAGGCAGATGAGGAGTCGGGCAAGCCTATCTCGAGGTCCTACCCCGTGGAGATGACTCTCTACGGTCAGTACAGATTCGTGAAGGCTGTGGGCAAGCACTTTGAGCGGGCCAAGATCATTCTGCGCCACCCCACTAGAGTTGACTCTGGCGTCAGATACGAAAACGTCCACGCCGAGTCGAAGCCCATTCCAGCACCCGGCGCCAGAAACCTGGCCGGGGCCCTTGCTCAGTACAACAGTCACTCGTCGTCGACTTACTACACAAACCCAACCCCTCGCACTGTTGAGGAGATTCGGTCAGACGTCATGGGCGTCTTTGACTCCATGGGAAAGACGGATGAGCTTCCTGAAATGGATCCATCACCAATCGTCACCACCGAACTCCTCAAGCATCAGAAGCAGGGCCTGTATTTCATGGCAAACAAAGAGAAGACGTCAAGCGCCGAGGAGAGAACCAAGGGCTCGATGTGGCAGCTCAAGATCGGCCCCTCCGGCCAGAAGTCCTACTACAACGTCATCACAGGCCAAGCAGAGCGACAGCTTCCACCGGACACCCACGGTGGCCTGCTCGCTGACATGATGGGCTTGGGAAAGACGCTTAGTATCCTCTCACTCCTCGCCAGCTCTATGGACGAAGCTCGGGAATGGGCAAGCCGCGCGCCTGTGCAGCCCGAAATGCCGCCCCAGAAGGCTGGGGGCAAAGCGACGGCTTCGAGCTCCCTGCCACTCACTAACATCGCCCTGAATTCCAAGGCGACGCTTCTTGTGTGTCCCCTAAGTACCGTCACCAACTGGGAGGAGCAGATCAAGCAGCACATCGCGCCTGGACAAATGAGCTACTACATTTACCACGGCTCGAACAGGATCAAGGACGTCGAAAAGCTGGCAGACTTCGATTTGGTGATCACCACCTACGGCTCTGTCTCGAGCGAGCTAGGCGCTCGCAGCAAGCGGAAATCAGGAAAATACCCGCTGGAGGAGATTGGGTGGTTTCGCATCGTTCTTGACGAGGCGCACATGATACGCGAGGTTGCAACTTTGCAGTTCAAAGCCATCGTTCGTCTCCAGGCTGCTCGTCGCTGGGCCGTCACTGGAACCCCCGTTCAGAACCGTCTCGAAGACTTGGCCGCCCTTTTGCAGTTCATCCGGCTCAAGCCCTTCGACGACCGCAACAAGTTCAATAGATTCATCGTGGATCCATTCAAAGCCTGTGACACGGAAATCGTTCCAAAGCTCCGCGTTCTTGTGGACAGCGTCACACTGCGACGCTTGAAGGATAAGATCAACCTTCCACCGCGCAGCGATCATGTCGTCAAGCTCGATTTTACTGCTGAGGAGCGTGAGGTTTACGATTTGTTCGAGAAGAACGCTCAAGACCGTGTCAAGGTCCTTGCCGGAAATGGCGTGCAGCGGGCACTAGGAGGCCACACGTACATCCACATTCTGCGATCCATCTTGCGGCTTCGCCTCCTCTGTGCTCATGGCAAGGACCTCTTGAACGAAGAAGATCTAGAGGCCTTGCAAGGCATGACGGCTGACATGGCTATTGACCTTGACAGTGAAGATGAGGACAACCAGCCCGGCTTGTCGAACCGCAAGGCGTACGAAATGTTCGAACTAATGCAGGAGACAAACACGGATGCTTGCAGCGTCTGCTCCAAGAAACTGGGATCCAACGACGACGCCAGCATCGAGTCGGAGGGGCAAGAAGACATCCTCGGCTACATGACGCCCTGCTTCCATATCGTCTGTGGTGCCTGCATCAGGGGGTTTAAAGAACAGACCAAACAGCTTCTCGCTCCAGGCGAGGCTACGGGGCCATGCCCTGTCTGTTCCACGGTCATCAAGCCCGCCTACGTTGACATCCGTCGATCCCGCGTCAAGATTGAGCACGAGGGACCTGCTAAAGACAAGACCTCCTCAAACGGCCGCAAGACATTCGGGAAGTACTCGGGACCACACACCAAGACGAGAGCTTTGATAGAGGATCTTTTAAAGTCGAAGGCCGACAGCGAGGCTAGCCCGCACGAGCCGCCGTACAAGTCCGTCGTATTCTCGACGTGGACCTCACACCTCGACTTGATCCAGATGGCTCTTGACAATGTCGGCATCAAGTATGTCAGGCTTGATGGCAGCATGACGCGTGTTGCGCGAACCCAGGCGATGGACAGCTTTCGCGACGACAATTCAGTTCACGTCATCCTGGTGTCAATCACAGCCGGTGGTCTTGGCCTCAATTTGACTGCAGGCAGCAGCGTTTACGTTATGGAACCCCAATACAACCCCGCAGCCGAGGCTCAGGCCATCGACCGAGTTCATCGTCTGGGCCAGAAGCGTCCCGTTCGTACGGTCCGATACATCATGCGAAACAGCTTCGAAGAGAAGATGCTCGAACTGCAAGAGAAGAAGAACAAGCTGGCGAGCCTCAGCATGGATAGGAAGGACAGGGTGTTTGATAAGAGCGAAGCGGCCCGACAGAGGCTTCAGGACCTTCGAAGCCTGTTCAAATGAATTTCGGAGGGACTTGCTGATAAGTTTTCAAGAATTGGGTCATCTGCAACGCGCAAGCATAGCACTGTGGCGTTTGGGAGTATACAGGAAGTAGGCATTTTGGGAGAGGGGTGGAGCGAGGCGATCGGCCTCAACAGGACTTTTTTTTTCTACTTTCCTTTTCGGCTACCACCTGTGATGGGGATCTATGAGAACCCCATTCGCTCAAATTACCCAGGTAGCCAGCCAACTGCATTGTTGATGTAGGGAAGGGGGGAGGGGGCATCCTTACTTTTTTCCACACGTCCATGGACGTGACGATACCAAGCCGATTGAGCATCTTCTATCTCATGGACGAGAGTAGCAAGCAAGCATGAAATCGGTTGAGGGCGGAGTTGGGAGGCAATTTCCGATTGTTTGTCCCCATCGGTTCACAAGTGTACGACGCTAGATTCGCATTAGACGCACCCGGGCAGTTTGGGGGTCTCACGATCAAAGGAGAAGTGCATTGCAATGCGACCAAGACTTCATAGTTTGAGCAGCCATGATGCCGCTTTTGCAAATCACACCGGTCTGCTCATCGCACGCTTCCGTGCCGGTCCTATCTCGACCCCTTGTGACAAGAATTGGATGGGGACAACAGCCATCCCGGCGCCCCGCGTTGCTTAGCCAGGCTCCCCGGCAACGGGGCGAGCGTTTGCCAGTGTGCCGCGCATGTCGTTGAAGCCGTTTGCATGAATGCGTACGTGTCACAATAGTGCGCGGAGAGCCCCAAGTATACGACGAAGGGTGAGTCGACCAAAGCGTGTGCGTGTGTATAGTTGTATCCAAACCCTCGGGTTTTTTTTTTTTTTTTTTGGGAAGTAGGTGTGTAGTGTTATTAGTGTTTTTGCTTGTAGTCAGAGAAAAGGTCCTCCACACACCCTCGCGAGACACTTGGGCCTGTCAAAAGTAGTGTTGCTCTGTCCAGCGGCCGAGCCGTTCGTCCGCGTCTCCGCCCCAACCCAACAACACTGATTGTCTATCTCTCTCTCTCTCCTTTTATTTTATTTTTAATTTTAATTTTTTAATCAACTTTGCTTCCCCGGTCTGTCGATACTTCTGTCCCCCATCAACAGTCGCCAGCTGCCGACCAAGCCTTGGCGGGGTCTTCCTTCCTTTTCCTTTTGGTCACTCCCCCACACACCCCTCCCGGCATGTTTGCCAAGGTGGCGGAAGGGCGGCTCAACGCTAAACGGCGGGGCTGGTGGTGAAGTTGGCTCTTTCAGAGATGGTGGCCTGCGTAGAGGGGCGAGGAGGGAAGGGAAAGCATGTGATTGTGCGGCAGAGTCGGTCCTCGTGGTGAACATGGCAGAGTGATGTGCCATGACGGGATGATGATCAGGTTTACTCTGGAATTGTTCTCCAATCTCACTACAAGGGCGCTGGCAGGATGGTTACATGCAAGGTCCATTGCAACAGTCTCAGGTATAAGTTGAAGTGAAAGTTATGGTTCCATTCTTGCCTCCTCGAGGGTTCTTTTCCTTGATTTCTAATAATCTAAACCGTTTCTCATTACTGTCAACGTGAACGCCCTCTCGCAATGCCTACCCCCGCAAACGCCATAAAGATATCCCATGATTGTGAGGTCGGCAATTGCTCTCACTCTCAGATAAATCTGGAAGTGGCAATAAAAAAAAGGCGCCACTAACAACGAGTTCTACAAGTCGTAGTGAGGATAGCTCCTTCCGCCCAATCGAACTCCGAGATCGACTGCGCTGGAACACATCCGTTGAAGTGAAAGCCTTGACACTCCCACATCTTCCGCCCTGCCTGGTTGTTTGGTTTAAAACAAGCCTCCGAAGTTGTCATTAAAATTGTCCAGTTCATCTCATTCATGCAGCGTCGGCGCTGGCGGCAGGCATCGACACGCGGGTAAGCTGATCACCAGCACGGACGATACGCTGGCCGCTCGAGTCGGTGACATATGTCATGTCCTTGTTTTCGTACTGGGCACGCTTCCAAATCTCAACCTCGCAACCACCGCGGAGGACACCAACGCGCATGGTGGAAAGAAGGTTGTGAGCGGCGTTGGAGTGGAGATAGACACCGCCGTTGAAGATTGCGGTGGCATCCTTGCCGACAGCGGAGGAGATGAGAGCCTTGCCACCTGGGTGCTCCTTGATGAAGTCAGTCACATCGTGGATAACACCGGCAATGGCAACGAGACCCCTGCCATTCTTGGCCTGCGAAACGAAGTCATCCCAGTCAATGACGGGCAACTGCTCAAGAGGAACACCCCAGTCAAGCTTCGCGCGCTTCTGGTCGAGCTTCTTCTGGAGCTGCTGAACACGTCCCTTCTCAATCTCATTCTGGCGGAATTGCTTGAGGTCAGATGCGAGGCCGAGTTGCTTCCAAGTCCAGATGCACCACTTGGTGGGGTCGTACTGCCACCACTGAATAGCGTTGCGGTAGTCGGAGGGGAACTCGTGGTGGAAGTTGTGGTATCCCTCGCCGAGGGTAACGAGAGCAGTGATGACATGGTCACGAGGCGAGTTGCGGTCGTCGAAGGGCTGGTCACCGAGCCAGTGGGCCAAGGAGTTGACGCAGAAGGTGGCCTGCTGGACGACGAAAATGCGGAGGATACCGCCGTAGACGTATCCGCCGAGCCAGTCACCCCAGCCCAGGCCGCAGACAAGAGTAGGGAAGATGATACCCATGCCGATGACACACTTGATGAAGTGAACGTGCTGCCACATGACGACAGGGTCCTCGTTGAGATCGGTGATATCGGTTCGGCCCATACGCTTGGGATCCTGTTTCAAAACCATCCAGCCGATGTGGCTGTAGAGGAGACCCTTTCGAACAGAGTAGGGGTCCTTGTCGGTATCGGTGTATCGGTGGTGAGCGCGGTGACCGTGGGACCACCATCGGATAGAGCCTTCGACGGCGCCGGCGCCAACAGCAGCAAGGTAGATTCTGAGGGGAAGGCTGGCCTTGTAAGAACGGTGAGCCCAGAGGCGATGGTATCCTGATTTGTTGTAAGCACATTTTTGCCTTGATATTATAGGGGTAAGACATCCAGCAACTTACCAGCAGTGATGCCGAGGCCAGTATTGAAGTAATAGACGACAGCGAACACGGCCGTCTTCCACGTCAGAGGGATCCAGTAGGAACTGATGAATCCGACCAAGGGAATGATCAGAATGAAGGTGGTGTTGAGCCAGTTGACGTGCTTGTGCCAGTTGGCCAGAGTGACAGGCTGGGTCGAGCTGTCGATCATCAGCCTGTGCTAATTCATGCAGCAAGAATATGGGATACGTACATGTGAGGCTTCTTGGTGTCGTAGGCCTTGGAGGCACGCACAGGAACGTAGTCGGCAGTGCCATCGGGAAAGTGATCGGCCTGCGTGGCCTTGGCGGCAGAGGACGAAGTCGTCGCCGACATGTTGAAGAGAGGACTGAGCCAACAGGCTACGATCGAGAGGTTGGCAGTTCTCTTCGAAAAGGGAAGGACTCCAAGGTGTTTGTACCAACTACTCCAAACGAAGCTTATGATCTTGAGTAAGAAGCAACGTCCAGCAATGGCAAATACTGTCCGATGGCCGACTGGGTGTTGGACTTTGGGTGAGAAGGGGAGGTCTAAGAAGAAGAGGTTCGAAGGTCAGGAGAAGATGAAGAGTTGTGAATTATATAAAGGGACACACATAGGTTAAGAGACCCCAGTAAGGAGGGACAAGTATCCGCGGAGGCCGGGGTACCTTTGGGCGAGGTATCCGCCACCCACCAGCTTCAAAAAAAAAAAAATCCCAGCAAACGAGTGAGTGGGAAGGGTGGGATGGTGGTGGGGAGGGGGGGTGGTCCTGTGAATCAGATCACTTAGTCCAGGACTCAGGACAAGTCACAATCAACCGAAAAAATGCTAAGGCGGATCTTGGGCCGTGGGTTGGACTTTGACTTCACAGTGTTGCAGGCTACGGGCCAAAGAGCGGGACCCTTCGATCTGGGCTGGGATATGCAGAGGAGAATGAGCGGATGGGTTGGGAGGATGGGAAGGGGGGAAGAAGCTTCCTCCAGCCTGGGAAAGAAAGGTATGGGGACCCGCAGAGAGAATTCGCCTTCTTGCCTTGTTCCCGAGAAGTACCGGACGACAACGCGTGTATCCGAATGGCGGGAAAGAATTATGCTGAGGCATGGCAAAAAGCAGGTGGGCAGGGAAGAAAGAGACGAGGGAGATGTACCTCCCTCATCTGTTGCATCCAAGAAGGTACCAAGCGACGGATCCCTCCCTTGCAGCTCGTTCCAATGGATGTTGCCAACTGGTCATAATAGGAAGTGACCTTCTTGCCTTACATCACACACACACACACACAGGAACTGCCCTGCATAATCAGGTCCGTAGTACGGGTAGTTTCCTTGAATTGGCAAGGCAGGTAAGTAGTACCTAAGTAATTGCACCCAATACTCGCCTCGGTATCACCAGCATCTTTTTGGAAGGCGGTTTCCCCTTTCATCCGTCTATTGCCTGACTGTGACGGCTGCATCTTAGGTATTAGCCTCACACCCTCGTCCAGAACACCACCGTTTTCTTGTTGATGCTGGGATAAGTATCTTTCTTCGTTGGGATCAAATATGGGCAGATCCAACTATCTAGATCTCACAGGACCCTTTCTTTGAGGACAACAAAACGCGACCACATGTCATCAGTCTTGATGCGAGTAGGAATCAGGCCATCAACAGCTTGAAATTTTAGGATCAGAAGCAAAACCAGAGCCTGCCGCCACGTAGCATCTCTTCGCACAGCCGAGGATAAGACGATTGACAACCCCGGATCAGGTCACATTTTCGTTGGCTATCCTCCCCATCGACTCCCCGGTCCCACAGGCATCTGGGGTTCGCTGTTATCTGTAGTGTATTGTACACTACACTATTTTGAGGGTGAGGTGAGAGGTTGTCAATCTGCAATGTATCACTGGCAAGCTCGCACGAGATGGATGCGGTCCAAAGGGAAAAAAAGGTCCCGGCTCCCAACAACTTCCCCAACGCTTTTCAGTATGACGGGCCGTTCATTGGCGGAAGCAGGGGGATGGTCCCTGCCATGTGGCCGCCGCTGGGGCGGGGCGGATGGGCAACTGGTATCGACCTTTCCTATTCCGGATACAGTATCCATACTCCAAAAAGTACGTACTTCTTTCTTCTGACGACTCCATCATCTCCAGGGCTGAAGAGTCGAAACTCATGGCTCGCTTCCGCCATGCCAACGCCGATTACCAACCGCGTCCGAGAATCCCTTCTCATTCTGATACTATCCCCCAGATCCACACCAGAGTGGCGATCTCCTAAACATTTTGTCCACGGCGCTCGGCTCCTACACGAAGAACATAGCGACCGAAGAGCGTTTCGAGCTTCGTCGAGCGCCACAAGCCTTCGGCCTTCTCGCTTGTTGTCTCACCTTACCTCATGCATTAACTTTGTACCTGCAGCTAGCTATCATACCCAGCCTGGAATAACCTGGACCATTTCCGTCAACAGTCGCTTCCCGCTCTTCGGGCGCCGTCTGACCGCGCTTCTTCTCGGGCAGTGAGCACAAGGGAGAAGTCGAGAGGAGAGGCATGAGGTTCAACCGAGGCGGTTCATGAATTGCAAGCTCTCTCCCGTCCCCAAGTCCCGCTGGATTATGCGCCACAATACACGTAGCGGAGAAACAGAAGGGAGTCGCCGATCGGACGGTGAACCGTCACCAGCTCACGATGAGTGATGAATCAAGCGCGGGTAGCGGTTTGTCCTCAACATGTGCTCCACTCGAAGCTCCATTTAATGACGGAAGTCTCACGTCGCCTCCAAGCTTTCCAGTGGTGAGGCTTCTTGGGACCCCTCCACCAGCAGGATGACTTATCTCTTCTTCCTTATCGCCGAGACGACCATCTGAGGAAACTCGAGAATTACGCCAGCGGGGGCTCTTCCATTCCCGTCAGTTTCGCATTTCGCAATCGGTTGAAGTCTTGGCTTACGATAAGAGCGCACCGACGGAGGCCAGAGGTCACATTGGGTTCAGCCCATGGGAAATTGTTCACCATTGCAGCCTCAGCATCTCCTGACCTACCATAATAAGACAACTCCGCACCCATCCCGGGTCTCGAATTCGCTTTCCCCAGTTGCCTTTTTTCCTTTTCAAATACGACATCCGCTCTTCCCACTCTAGCATCCCGGCCCATCCCCAACAGAAACAGGACCCTGCCCCGCAATCCTCCACCCCATGGCAGGCAGAACAGACCAGGGATTGCGGTAGCGGGTATTTTGCAAGTGCCCTTCTGGTATTATGCAAGTGTCTAACTAAATTTAGTAGCTATCCTACCTACTCCGTACTACTACTATAAATCTATTATTACTAACTAACGGCTATAATAATAGTAGTAACAGCTAGTAATCTAATAACTAGTAGCATAATAACAGCCTACACCGCCTCTACTATAGCAGCCTTTCACTAGGCACTATAGGTATAGACATAAAGTAGAGGATTGATATAGAGCGCTGAACTAATATAGGCTGTAAATAGTTATATAATATAATAAAGTTCTAATTAACTAATTACTTATTAGTAACAATCTATCCCTTTTGCTTTAAATTATTTAAATCTAAGGTCTTTTTGATTTTATATTACTATGATAGGACTGCTATAAGTCTAATAGCCTAATTAGCTAGGTTAGTTAGAATATTGCTGTAGGTGAAATTTTGCTTAAGCTGACATAATGACCTTCTAGATACAGTTAGACACTTGCACAATACCAGAAGGGCACTTGCAAAATATCTGCTACTATCCCTAGGGATTGCTGTCTTCACCTGTCTTAGCCTTCGAGCCACTGTCGGCGCTGCGTGGCTCAATGACTTCACGCTCGCTTTTCTGACCGCCTTTCACGTTTTCGTGCATCCCTTCTTGTCGGTGGCGGGGGGCGTCACGTGTTCGCCAGATGGCCAGAGATCGAGCTTCAGATTGGCTTTCGATCACCAGGCTCATGAACGTCTCGCCCCTTCTCCGAAGCTGCTTCGACAGAATTCGCCATTCTGGAACCTTTCCATGCTAACCCGATTAGGTGGAGCGCTTTACTTGACCAACGCCACACCCGCCTTGCTTTGCCTGTCAACTTCTTCGCCTCTTGTTCTTCCCCCTTTTCCCTCTCATCCAAACGTTTTTGCTACCGGAAGCTTGGGGGCCATAGCTCGCCGCCCCTAGCTCCATGCGCCCCAAGCTCCAAGCTTCACCTATCGTGACTCTACGAGCCGCTACGCCCAGTCCCTTTCACTCGTCCGATTCGACCAAAGCTTGGCGACATGCAAAGAAAGCAGGCCTGGTTGGGTTCGATCCATCTAAACCATAACCTTCGCTCACAACGACTGCTATCCGTCAAAGCGTTGCCAAGCCGATATCACACTTTGTCTGGACCGCCTGGATTAATTCCGGCTACAGCCGATATCGCGATCTTGGCAATATCTGGTTGTCGGGAGAAAGGAGGGAGAACACATCACTTCAGTCTAAAACAGCCCTCGATTGACACACGCTTCTCCTTGCCTTCGGAATCTTCGATCACTGTCACTGCAGCTTCAACCCCGACTTTCACACCAGGCTCGCAGGCCCTGTCCGCCCTTCATCGTGCTTACCAGGACGACGCTTCTCTCTATTCAGCACTGGTTTGTTATATCCATCGAATCTGATTCTGCCTACTTGACGATATCAATGTTGTAGTCAGTATTTGGGTCACAGCACATCTCACCAGCGCTGTACCATCTTCGGATTCATCGAATATCACCATGGGGGGATCTGCAACCACACTGTCTCGGAAAACTACGTTCGTCAAAAGCTCATTCGACGTCCATCATTTATGTCACAGACTGTACGAATATCTACATCAATGCTATGCCAAATGACTGGTAGGAACAGCCAATCCGATTTCCAAACTGGCTGCACTATCATTCGAGGGAAAAAAGACGCCATCCCAGATGCCCGGTTAATCGAGTTGCTCACATGCGCAATTCACCTCCAAAACTGCTGCGCCCTCTAGTATACACTCATCATTTCTCGACAGCTGTCATCATCGTTGCCGTTGGTGCTGCCAGTGCCACCGTGTTTGAGGAAAAGTCGTCGTCAAGAGATTCCTTCTCCCGCATCTTCTGTTCGTCCGTGTCAAGGTATGCCGCGCCCACGCCATTGAGTTCTGGATTTCCTGCCACTGGGGAAGACGGTGCTGCTGTCTTGTCATCTGTATCAGTCTTAGGCGTGGTATCATCCTTGGACGGAATTTTTGCGTCGAGTGCGGGCAGGATCTGTTGTTCGGCAACATCTACCGACTCGTTCTCGGCCTCAAACTCGGCAGCAGTTGGGTTTGCTGTAGTGGTATATTTGGTGGATGGCGTTGTAGCCCGATCTTCGTGCTCCATAAGTTGTGTTGCAACCGCGATGTTTCCCGACTCGCTCGAGATGTCGTTGCTGTTCAGTTGGTTTTTGGGTTCTGTTTTCCCCGTTACAAGGGGCACTGTTTGCCCTGCTGTTTCTTTTGCGTCCGGCTCCGCGTACTGGCCATTCCCAACTTGGCCTGCCTCTTCCATGATGTCCCCCCCTGCGTTATCCCCTTCTATATCGACATTCTTGACTGTGAGAGGGCTTGCCATGGATGGCCGTGATGCGATGGGATCGACGAAAGCATGCGGTTCCGTTAGCTCCGTCCCGGAGACGACCCTGGAAAGCTCCTCTCCAGCGAGTCTCTTATCCACTTGCCCTGGCGTCTGGTCGAGTTCAGCCCGATCTATTGCTGCAAAGTCGTTCGAAAGGGGTGTCCACTGTAGCTCCTCCAGCCTCTGTTGCATCGACCTGCTCGTCTCGTCCGTCAGCTCAGGTGTTGCGATGGAGTCCTTGCTGGTCGTCGGTGTTGTGCTCTTGTGATCATCTATCTCGTCTCCTCCAACGTCGCTGTACGACGGTGCAATGTTCCTAGCCTCCGCCCAGCTCGAGATGTTGCGGCCCATGTGAGGCGAATCGCAGCGCCCGTAATGACTCGGAAGCGGGCTTGGAGGGGATCGCCCCCTCGTGTAGTAGTACGGGTCTTGAGAAAAGCCTCTCGTCGGATCGGCGTAGGTATGGCCTAGATTGACGTATGACCAGTCATGGGCCGGCTCGGCAGTCTTGACTCGCGCGTGGCCATTGCCCTGGTAGCCCTCCACAAAGTACTCCTGCATGGTGTAGCCGTCGTCCACGGAGATAGACGGGGGAGCAGCATCGTCACCAACCGCTGGCTCGGGAAATAAAGCCATGAGCGACGAAGCCTGCAGCCGCAGTCTGGGATCATCGCTTAGGCATATGTCCACCATCTCCCGGTACCAAGCTGGCACGATGTGCTCCTCTGTGAGCTGTAAGGGCCGTCCCTGGGCCTCTGGTTCGTCATCTTGCGCTGCCAACGCCCACAAAACCATGCCGAGCTGATAGAGGTCGGACTTGACACCAATGTACATGGAGATACGCTGGTTGCTCTCGATAAGTGGCGTTGCCTCGGGAGGCTCCCAGCCCACCGGGCAGCCTCGCCTGTTGATATCGATAATCTTGGCGTTGTCTTCGTCGTCAATTACGATGTTCGAAAGGGTGAAGTCACCCTGTACGAAGCCGGATTCGTGAATGTCCGCCAGTCCCTGTACGATCTGACGCGCCCATTTCTCTCGGACCGGCCACGGCAGACCCAACTCGGACTCCTGTTGATTATCATAGATGACGTCGATGAGAGCACCGTGGACGGCGTAGCTGATGAGCAATCCTTTGACGTACTCGTCATCATCGTCGACGACGACGCCGTGAAATCGGATAATGTTTCTCGAATACCGAAGCCGGTTCAAGGCATTGATCTCGTAAAGAAACTCATCGATCGTGTCGGGGCCTGGAATCTCTTTTTTGATGAGAACGTCGCCGCCGACGCGAACCTTGTATACAAAACCAGACATGTGAGAGTCAAAGTCAATGTCTCTTTCCCTGATCCTCCGGCAACCCAGGTGTTGCACTTGGCGAACGGTGGGGTATTGAATGATTTCCTGCTACGAGTTAGCACCTAAGCGGGGATGTTGACTGACTGATCGACTCACGTTTACATCCTCAACGACATGGACATGTAGTCGGCCATCGGTGGTCTGTAGTTTCAAGTTGGTAACAGAGTGATAAAACTGGATGTCTTGAAGACTATCTCTGATGGCTTCGTAGATCTTTGAGCTCTTGTCGCGTTGAGACTTTGTGTGCATCAAATCCAGTTCAAGAGAGTTGTCCGGGGCATTGCGATAATCGAGGGAAATGGTCACCCGGCGCCAGAGGGTCGGAGTTTCTCGGTACGTCACAAAGAACTTTTCCCTCTTGGACTTGTCGCGGAAATGCATGCTGAGGTTAAGAATCCAAGTGGTTTCAAGCTCATCGTGAATCATAGCCTCGTACTGCGATTGTGATGTTGTTACTGAGTGCGCATCGGAATTTGACTGCAGTTCGTGCACATGAGAATCGTCGAAGGTGGGCGCTGATACTGGGGCGACCATCTGATTCAAGCTGGCTTCGGCCTTTTCCTCGACTGGGCTGGCCGGGGCAGAAGAGGCAGACTGAATTTCGTAGGTATTTTCGAGGAAGTCCGGTGCGCTAGCTCGGGGAAACGACTGGGCCTGCGACGCCGTGCGTGGCGACTGCACGCGCCTGTCCACCGATAAAGCACGCCTCTCTGCTGGAGAAGGCTCAACTGGTGCGAGGTTGTTCCTGCGCTCTGACTGCTGACGTTTGAAGGTCTGTACTCGCGGAAGTCCGGGCACGACTTTCCTAGAGACTCGGCGCACCAGGCCTGTACTTTGCGGGTCGTCCGGGTCGGGCTCGTGCCCAGGTTCGGGCTCGGGCTCCTTGGCCTGAAGCGGGCCGACGGGTGCCGGAGCCGCATTGTTTCGTCCGAAGAGCTTGCGCAAGAAGCTGGTGGAGTGATGACCCGATGTGGGCGGTGGCTCCGTAGGAGATGGACTCGTTTGCGCCATCATCAATCAAGTGGGAGGCACAGCGAGATGTCGTCGATATATTTTCTGGAAAGTCCGTCACGACGGTAGAAGGTGAGGCTCCAAGCGGTGTGGTCCTGGGGACGAGGTGTTTAATTAGGGATAGGCCCGTAAGCTTGACCGGGAGCGAACCAGGCGGGGGACAAGGATGGGCCTTGGAGCGAGAGACGGTCAACGTCCAGCCTGGTTCTGGGCAGGTTTGGTGCCGGGTCTGAGCTAAATTGGGTTGACAGCGGCTGGGAAGTGGCCGGGCGCGGGCACCGCGAGACAAGAATGACGAGGGGCGTCCTTTTGTGGACGTCCGGTTGTAACTCGAACGTTACGGGCAGTATGCAGGCAGCCGCACGCAAAATGAGACATCAGACGTTGTGACGATGGAGGGTGGAAGTGTGCAGAGAAGCAATGGTGGGCAAGACCATGTTCAGACGAGAGTGATGGGGGGCGGAGGACGCAGGATCGGCCGGGACTCGACGAGCCTTTTGGAGGAATCTCGAACCCCAATCGGGAGACCGTCGGTAGGTGACTGGTGTGTGCAGGTGGTGCTACTGCGGTGCATTTGCTGTCATTCAGGAATAGGGGGACAGAGGCCGAGCCTGAGAGGTAGGTTTCTTCCCAGGGACTGGCAAGGTCGGATGGGCTCACTTTAGACGGTAGTCAGGCAGACGAGGGCGGCAGCGCGTGTGCAGTTGTTTTCTTTTGACGATGGAGGGATAGTTCTGGCGCGTAAGGTGATAGGCCAAGGCGGGGTGGCAGTGTAACGTGCGTCAGCGAAGCTGAGTCGGACCGCCCTGCGTCTCGGTAGGTCAGATGTGGTGTAGGTAGGATAGGATGATGCCGGACGACGTAGACGCAAGATATGTGTGTGTTGACGACAGCGTGTTTAAAAGTCTGATATGTATGGCCGGGGTAGGCCAAGGCAAACGTCGTCGTGATGTGCTGGTAGGTGGTGGCCGACAGACAAATAAACGACGAGGTGAGGCGAACATTGGGCTTGGGTGGTTTGTATGGAAAGTAAGCGGCAAGGAGGAGCTAAGCAGGGGAGGGAGGGTTCCAAGAGAAGCAGGAGGGGGAGGGGCACCGTTGACGGTTGCCCTGGGCACTCGCCGTCGTGGGGTTCGGCGTCAGCGCCTGCGTCTGGTCTGGGGGTCTGGAGCAACAATTTACTTTTTGTCGCGAGGGTATATATCCAGAGTAATGCATGCGCATGCAGGAGTAGCGCATGAGGAGGGGAGGGAGTGTTCGTACGTGAGGACAATATCGGGACCGCGTGTTTCTGGTTGTTACAAGAGGCTGGGAGGCTGGGCACCCGGAAGAGACCTCGTAGAGCTCCCGTGCCAATAGCAGTGGCGCTCTTCAAGATGCCTTTTTTTTCCCCAGCTAAAACTGAGGAGCGACGCGCATGTGAGGGTTAAGGAACATGGCTAGCCAGATGGCCAGTCAGATTGGAGAACCCTGGCTGGCACGAGGGAAAAGGCCAACGGACGCTAAGGCACGTTGCTCAATGATGGCTGTTTGCCTACACGAGGTGTTGTGGATAGGTAGGTAGGTGACCAAGATGCCATGCTTTCTGACCTCACTTGGGCATTCAGGCACCACGCCCTTCCACCTCATGGCTGGCTGTCACTGGATGAATATGGAATGGTTTGTGGGAGCTTGACTACCTAGCTTACCTACTTTACCTACCTAGGCAGGGAGCACTGAGGTACCTAACCTATTTGTGGAGGGGTGGGGCTTTCCTAACGGTGATGCGCTGTCCACTTCTTCTTTCCCCCTCCGCCCACTTGGACGTCAGATGTCCCGGCGATGCCCAAGCTGTCAAAGAAAGGAAGGAAGGAATGAATGAAGAGAGACTAGTGTCCGTGGATCTTCACTGCCTCCCGTTCCGAACTGTACAAGGGACGGTGCCTCCTCCTTTGGGATGAGTTGCAGCTGCCTTTCTTCCAAGTATCAAGCGTGCATTTCCTTTGCCTCTTAGCTGCCTTCCACGGCAATCATCATCGTCATCGTACTCCCAGCCGGCGGAGGGTTTGCGAATACCTACCCTAGGTATGTACCTAGGTAGGTAGGTAAGGTACCTGGGTAGTCATGGCACTCTCTGCAAGACACCAGCTGAGCAATTGGGGCCCGTGAGAGGGCCCGGCATGAGGCCGCTCTCCACCACCACGAACTCTTCCCCGTCATCTTAGCGTCCGTCTTCTCATGTACGATGACCTCCATTCTCAGCCCTCCTCTGGCGATTGGATCCCCGCTGCTTTTTTTTTCTGTGGGCGTTGGGTTCGTTGGGCTCGCATTCAAACCACGTCCCTTTCTTTCAAACCCGCCAAACATCCACATCGTCACTGCACGCCGTCTCCTCAATCAATTGGCCTCACATAAAGCAATTGACCGCCCTTTCCCTCCTTACCTGGCCCACATGTCGATGTAGGCATCAACCAGGGTGCTGGGCAGCTGGGCAGACAGAGATCGGATACAGACAGCGGATTGGGGCTTGAGATACTACCGCTACCGCCCGGGCCCCCGTCCGGGGGGCTTGTCAATCTGATCACCACAAGACACCCCCGTTGCTTCGTCTAATTGGTGACTCAGGGGCTGGCTATCTCAAAAATCTGGACCCGGCATATCTTGGCCGATTGATCCGTCACCGTTTGCACTCACAGATGCGCTTGACCGTTGCCGCCGAAATCTTATTCCCAGTGTGGGAGGTTTGCCCTTGACCAGAACGACTCCAGAACCGTGGGATTCCGCATAAACGACCAGTCACACCAACGACATCTTCGTAATCCACCGCGCCGAATGCACCTCGAGAGCAATCCGTTACTGGCTAAATCCTCTCCTTGTCTTGACCCGCTATCTCCCACAAATGACGGCGCAAGAGGACACTCTTCGCTTGCCCACTTGCATCCAAGATCGGGCACTTGCGCAATCTTACAACTGATGGATCCTCTCCGTCTATCTGCGTCGACCTCTGCCCGGAAAACTAAGCAAGGACGAAGAAATATCCACGTGCTCGCCGCCCTTGTGCGTCAAGGACGCCTGCTGCGCAACCCATTGTATTCGTCCGCAGTCTGAGGGGCCAACACCACCAATCAGTCGTCTCTGTCACGTTTCCGCCCTCCACTGCCTGACGCCATACCATTTGCAAGGTGACACGACAGCTCCTGAGCTGCAGCCGATGGAACCGCGACATAGCACTGCAATGCAGCGCACGGAAACGAACTGACCCATCGTCGTGGAGTGTTATCCAGTGAGGTTGGTGCCGGCTGGAACACTACTTTTCTGACACTTCCTCTGCCCTCATAGGCTATTTGCTTTCTAAGGAACCCTGCTGGTTTGAAAATTGACACGGCCGTGGCCTGTTTTTGGGCCAATGCTGCTTTCAAATGACAGACGCAATCAAGAGTGCTTGCTACATGCTCTTTGGTTGTCAGCCCTGCCGGTTGGTCAACGTTAGTGGCCAGGTCCGATGTAAGGTGCCTTCCTCACGCACTGCTTGCATTTGGGCATCGACGCAGCCCAAATAATGAGGCTGTCTCCCTGTTGACAGGCTGTCAGGCTGCTCCGGAGGCACGGCCAGGATTCTCCTTCAAGCTTGCCCTGACATCAGAAAGGACCGCTTCCTTGCCCTTCCCGGTCGTCCGGGATCTGCCACCGGCACAGACGTTGACAATCCATTCTTGCAGCAACCTTCTCTCCCTCCAGCTCGCTAGCGACTCTAGAGGCCGGCAGCAGACATAGCCATGCTTCCTCGTCAAGCGCCGTATCACTTGGACCTGATGATCTCCCGTCTTGAATTCACTGAGAGGACGGTTTCGGAGATTCACAAGTGCGATTGGTGGTGGGATGAAAAGGCAGGTAAAACGATGCAAGGGTCGTCCCGTCTGCTCGCTCTTTGACAGATCCGAACGTCTACCCGCGAACCCCACCACTCCCGCCTGGCTGGATGGACATGGCACCCATAAACCCTTGGCATCCCTCCCGCTGTCGCCAGTGAACCCGTGACGAAGAGATAATTCTGCATCAACTTAGCATGTCCTCGATTTCTGCTGCTCGGGGCTCATTCGGTCCTAGAAAGTTGGGCCACAATCAGGCGCATACAACTTGTCACCATGACTCGGATTCTTCTCGGGCAGCAGCGCCCGTCGTGCGCCAGAAGACGCGAGTGTTTGGTTCTCCAGCGGCACGGAGACGGATGCTCCACCGTTCGTTGGATGCCCTTGGCTCTCCAATACCATCCCGCGACCGGGCACCCCATACACCAGTCTGACTTAGACGTAATGCACAGCACGGCCGTCTTACCAGCGCGCCCATACTGCAGCCGTCGACATGCGTATACATGATTGTGGCCAGGCCGGCCGCATCTGCAGGCATCAGCGTTTCCGGCAAGCTGGTGCTTTCCTTTCCTGGCCCTCCCGTCCCAGTCTTCATGCTCGCCTTGAACGGCATCAACCGGAAGTTACCACACCACTTGATCGGGAAACCAATCGAATTCTGATGCTGTCGCTTATGGCTACTACTGCTGCAACACCACACGTCTTGGAGGAGGAAGGGGAACAAGTGATCAAAATGTGGCTGAGTCGCCGAGGGGTTCAGACACCCCCCGGCTTGGGGCTGGTAGTATACAATATTTCGCTCCTCTGCCGCTATGCGAAGATCGCACGCCTCGCAGTTCGACTCACAACCACCGACTCTGCGCGGAAATGGCTGCCGCGCAATCTACTCTCCTTATGCGATTGGGTGGGTGCCTTTACAACCCTATTCTTACACAGCCGGTCCCGGCTCGCTTTCCACGTCGACAACACCCGTCGAATCCCAGCCAAACAATTACAGATTGAAAATAAGAAAGGAACAAGAAAAAAAGACCATCTAGAGTAGAGATGCAGTATCGGAGGTGAGATATATGCCATCGTGCCGTAAAGTTTAATGCGGGTGCGTCTAATCGTCTTATGATGAAACCACCCCCATCTTGTGCTTCCTTTCGCCAG